GCAGTGCAATTGTTATGGATATGGCCTAGTCTTAGCGAAGGTAAGAGAAGGGCTTGGTTTACATCAATTTATTACAAGTAGAATATGGAAGGAAAAGAAAAGGTGGTAACAAAAATAATACAATACGGTAAAAAATGCACAAACAATATAAAACACTCCCTTCTATTACTAAACAGCCGAGATGGCCTACATATGTATATATATCCAATGCTTTAGAAACAGTCAAAATTCATGAATTTAAGTTTTACATGATGATTGATAGGTACGTCCTGGCGCTTCGAGAATTTTGATGGGAGTGATGATGAAACGAACCAACGTAAGAACAGTGTAATGAAAAGCAATTTGAGAACGATTCAAAATTTTGAAAGAAAGTGGCCAGAAATCAGTCGTCGTAATGGTCAGCGTCGTTACATGGACAGGCATGTCGCTTACCACCAGACGCACGACTTGTTCGTCGCACTTGGCATCATACAAAAAACTATTGTTATAATCAAGGCTAGATTGAATAGGTATTTTTTTACAAACGCGCAACAAAGTCGGCTACAACAGATTGTGGCCAAGCGTAATATTTTTGCTCAGTAAGGTCTGCTGACTCGTTCCATAGCTTAGTTGGGAGAGCGGTAGCCCCGGCCTGGCAAAAAGTCTCTGGCTAGAGTCCAGCCGGATCGACGGAATATTTCTTTGTAAATTCGATCTTTGGTTTTACTAGATCAAATCCAACGATATGACGTATTAAAGAAGAGATCAAGTAAGAAATTACTTAGGAACTAAACTCAAAATTCCTTAATTTCTTGCTTAAACTTAGGCAAATTTAGTTTTGTGGTTTATACGAATAGCTCGCCATTTTTGCTAAATCGAAGTAAAGTTCTTTTCAAATAAATCTCGGTCGTAGCAAAGTGTAATGAAACCCCAAATTGATGGTGTACTCTATTTTTCCCCAAGACTCTTTACAATGGTGTAATAATTATATTTTTCCTTTTTGTTAAGAAACTATCGCGCACTGCAACTAGGTAATCTCCTTTAAAATAAAAATGGATTCCATGCTCTTAAAAGTAAAATTCTTCGTTTTTTTTTTTCTTAGTCGAAGTCAAAGTTCATTTAAACAAAACACCATACTGATGCTGTACTTTATTTATTTTTCCACAAGACACTTTATAACGGTGTAACAATTACATTTTTATTCGGTTTCGTAACTCGGTAATCTCCTCAAAAAAATGGCTTCCCGCTCTTAGAAGTAAAATGTTTCATTCTTCGGGACAGGTTAAGGTGTCTCGTTAGTCATACTGCCATCTTATATTGTAATTTTTCTACAATAGTTTAATTATCTGACATGTTTTCATAATTCTTCTTCATTTTTTCTATTATCTATTTGGTGAGAATTGGCTATAGACTATCAGTTTAAACAAGCAATATACAATTTAAAAAACCTAAAACTCAAACTAAAAATTAATTTGAGAAAAAGCTGTAACTACAAAAACTCGCCATTTTTTTTCTTCCGTAGTTCCATTTTCTAACGTTATTCCCGGGAAATCTACTAGGTATTGGTTTTTCTTTGTGTTGCCATTACAAAACAAGAACCTTTTCATATTTTTATTTTACTTCTATAAAAATCATGACAAAAGCTATTTGCGTGACATTACCGCCGGAGGTGTTTATTATTTTGAGCCTAAGTGTGTTATTAAACTAAGTAAGATAACATTATAATATCTATGTGCGTAATTGATATGAGTAATGCGTAAAATAAATACCACAATCAGTAATTTAATGGAAAATAAGGAGGAAAAGAGCCTTCTTGTGCACTCACAGTTTACAAATTTATCATTGCAGCTGGAGGGAATATGATACTAATGGGTGACGAATGTTATTTAGTACGAACCATACAAACAGTTCCTCTACGGTGTAGACACTGAGATATTTAAAACCATAACAATTAAACATTTTTGTAGTTTGCGTTAGTAACCCCAATGTGTGCAGTTATTACTGCGTGACGGTTTGGTAGGCGCCCTGGTGAAATTTATTTTTTAAATTTAAATTTTGAATTACAGGACATGAGATTTGTCAACTTGTGTATATCTCAGGGTGACGGGCGCAGTGGCGGTCCGCCTCAGATCTTTGCAATTTAAAGCTCTGAGTGGCACTGCAACTTTTGCAACCGCAACTTACCACCCGACCCACGACTTGTTCCTCCTGTTACTTGGAATCATAAAAAAAAAGAAAAACGTGCAAGTATTCCTTACTACGTAGCCTATTGTTTTAACGGTGATAATTAATCGTTATATACTGTTAGAGTTAAAAAACTCAAGGTTGCCTGTATTGGGATTCCAACCGAATACAGCCTTCTGATTGTATGAGTAAACTCCGGACTCCTAGCAACCGCAAAGGCAATTTGGTACACAGTATTGACGTCATAACAAATTAAGAACATAATCAGGTTGTCAGATAACAAAAGAAAATCGCTAATTTAAGAACAAAACGGTATCTTAATTGTTGATTTCCCTGAAGAAAACTGAAAGAAATGTTATATTTCCCATCTCATACAATGGTAATTAGCCCCCGATCTTACGTAATGGTTGATTAAATATCCGAGTCAATACATAGCAAAAATTAATGTGATTTGCTATAATTACGAACGTAAAAACCATGGAACTGTGAGTGGTATCGCAGTTTATACTATACAGTTATGCAACTTTGCGAAGTTGGTGTATAATTAGAATTTTCAATTTCCTTCTACAAAGGGCATTATATCAACTTAACCATTGCTATGACCTAACCTAGATTGGTATAATATAAGTATATCTAAGTGACTGGACGAGCAAGTTACCTTCCTTACCGGTTTCACACGGCATTGCACTGCGCGTTTTTTGCAGTATAAATGTTACCGAATAAACAGTGGCGCATACATTAGATACAGAACCGTCCACACGGTGTTTGCCCTGCAAAAACACGCACACAGTTCTATAAGTTTAATACGCATCAAGTCAAGTTCTTCCGGCAGCAACGCCGTTGGGCGTCTTGTATAAGAGCAACAAAGCGTGGGTCCATCACAGACGTGTTCTCAGGGCAATTGCTGTGTGAATGCTGCGGCTACCCGTTTCTATACGCATGAAAATATATTGTGTGAACACCCCGCTATCAATCCGTTTATAATCGAATACGCTAAAAAATGTGCAGGACAATGCTGTGTGAACCAAGGCTTACCCCCCATAACTGGAACGCAGTAATGCTCACATTTCCCCTTGGCAGCAGAGCCAGGTGATGTTAGTAAAAGCAGTACTTCCCAGATTGAGTTCTTTCACTAGAGGTCTACTGCTACTAGTACTTCATACAAATTATTGTCTCAAAAATAAATATTGTAGCTAGGTAGCTGTAAAGGTACTAACTGGGTGATAAATCTTTCATAGATTTCTCATAGATCTCTCTCTCTTTACGACTAAAAAGTCGTTGAAAAACCAAATACAAAGACAAGACGCAAGCACATAGAAAAATTCGTGAGGTGCGTTGGTTCGTTCCGTGGCTTAGTTGGTATAGCGTCTGGCACGGTATGCAAGAAGACGTCGGTTCGAATCCGGCCGGATCGAAGGAATTTTTTCTGAGTGTTCGATCTTTGTATTAATAATTATAACAAACTAGTGGAGTAATTTCACAAAAAATAATTGAATATCAATTCAATAAAAATTTAATTAATAAATATTGTAGTTGTGTTTCTATAGGCACTTACGTATTTAAATACTTTAGCCATTAAAAAAAAAACATGAGACAACCTATATTTTGGCATATTTAAAAAATAACAGAACAAAGAGAAATTTTATACGCATTGTTGACGCAATAGCTATATAGGAAATGAAACTATTTTTCCGGATTTAAATCGCGTATATTTGTTTTTTCAAACAAACCGACGTTTCGGGCCCTTTACAGGTCCCATGGTCACGGTTGACTGAGGTGGTACAGTCTTCAACCTTCAATGTCTAATATTGATGCAAACCACCCTATTTTTTCATTATAGTTACAAAAATAGGAAAAATAGTTTCATTTCCTATGTGTAACAATCGCGAAAACCTAAGAACTCGAAATAGCTATATCCATGCTAAGAAATGGTTCATACTATAGGTAAATTAACTGCTTCGATTCTGATCACTGCTTATAGCACTAAGGGTGTGTGATATGTGAAAAACGTAGGAATAATTAATATATAAAACAAATTGAGTTAGTTCCCAAAAATCAAAATGAATATCATCATAATATTCGATAAAAATCAAATCTAACCTAGATATTTTGCTTCTTTTAACAGTTACATGTTAGTGTTTGCTTTAGCCAAAAACTCTTAGATCCGGGTGAGCGGCAGTTGCGTCTCACTGCACTCTTCGGCAGTCAGATTTTAACTAACAGTAATCACATATTTAAAGTAAGTCTTTTGATCGACCACGTTACTGCGACTCCTGTTTCATGGTCATTGATTTCATAAATTTTTAAGCGTTAAACACATAGAGAGCGGATGCGGGTCGGGTGGAGACCGCAGCGGATCTAATTCCGTGTCGACGGGTCGATATGGATGACAACACACAGCTCGCGCTCGATGTGTTGTCGCCCATAATAATATAAATACACGTAATTAAGCGTGAAGCACACAGAGAGCAGGTGCTGGTCGGGTTACGACCGCAGGCGGGTATTTATATGGACGACAACACATCGAGCGCGGACGCTCATTGTGTGTCACGCTTTAGACCCACCGCGGTCCCGACCCGACCCGCGCCCGACCCGATGCTCTCTGTATGTTTAACGCTTTACGCGGTTCATATTTATTGCTTTACACGAACCCATAATTTTTTACAGTCATATAAAATACGTAATAAAAGCATTTTTTAAACGTAATACTTCTAGTTACATGCTACGAAACGAATATTGCGATCGTTATATTATGTATTTTTACGCACATTGCACCTGGTGGCCTCCACAGGCGGGCGAGTCGTTTCACTGCACGTTGCCTACACTGTGTCACTGCTATGGTCTTGAGAATACATAATATAAAGGCTGATACAATCGTCTTATAACCAATTGTTAAGTTTGAACCAAGACAAGTGATACAGTGAGATGAATTTGGTGAGAAATTTCGTTATTTATTAGTTAACAAGTTTCGTGAAGTGCTTACTGTGTTAAACAAATTTATTATTGTGCTTTTACTTTTTCCGGTTGTACAGTTACATTTTTTTATAACAATTTTATGATACGCATAATGTTTGAAATGTTAGGCAACTCTTTATAATGTTAGTGAATTTTAACGGAAATATAAAATATTGTTAAAATAAACTATATCCCGAGAAAAAACAAATAAGTATTTTATTATAATAAAATATGAAAATTGTAATAAACTCAATACATTTAAACCGCGTTTAAAACAATATTAAATGATTTTAAATTAAATAAAGACTTTTAACAAATTAAAAATGTACGTATAAGTGCAGTGAGAATATTTAAATTGAAAAATAATATTAATTGATTTTACTGCTCCGGTGTAAGGATTGTTTTAGGTTACCACTTGTCAGCATGCTTCAGCATTATCCATGCTAAATCTAGGTTATTACTGAAAAGTGCTAACGACACGACATATTGTCCATCTCCTATCTAACTAACAGTAACTGGAAAAAGGGTTTTTTCGGAGCAAAAATATTATCGGTTTAGCATTTCTCGTATGGAGGTGTAGGTCGCATAAAAAGAATATTTAAAAACAAGATTTGATATTAAGTAAGTTTATTTATGTTATAAATACATATCAAATGTTTTATACAGAAACTTTCTTTGTATTTTATCAACCGTAAAAAATCCTTAATTTTCTCATTTAACTTAATAGCAAAGTTAAATATTATTACCTCATAATTATAAAAGGCATAACTATTTTAAATGTGACGTAATACTTGACTCATGAATGGAACTAAAGAACACAATTGTATGTAGTTGTACCTTTTTGTGTTATTAAATTGTAATTGAACTACAAAATAAGGGCACAGTTCCGTACATTACTAAGTAAAATCATTTCATATTAGTGTTTATATCAGAAATAAACGTAAAAAAACATTTTTTTGTAGTAATTATAAACTCTAAAGTTCGCGGAATTACATCTATTTGCCTAGTTTTATTCTAATCAGTTACCGGAAAGTGTGCGAAACTGGACTCATACCCTAGTTTGCCACTCTTAAAAGTGGGATATTTTCTTGAAATTTAAATGGTGCCAATACAGAGGCACTCTCTTTCCAACAAAAAAGAATCGTCAAAATCTTTTTTGGAGGTCTGTTCAAAAATCTGATTTTTGATGACAGTTGTGCCCTTGTGCTTAGATTGAGATGCATTTCTCCAAAAAAAAGGTATTTTTGTCCTGATTCCGAATAAGCATGTAAATGAATTTTGATAAAAATGTCAGTTGTGCCCTTTTTCGTTCCGAAGGCAGAATGTGTTATGTACTCATGGACATACGTTTAATCGAAATCAATGTCTATTGATTTCGAAGAATGAGATTGAATGACTGTAATCGTCTGATTAAAGTCATTCAAATGTTCTGGTATATTTGGCCAGTGGTTTATATCATATGAACATTGTTATCATAATACATTCATATCATTTGAACATTGTTATCATAATGGAACCTGTTTTAGCTGACTCTAAATATGTCCTTGAGTATAAATATAATAAACCAAGACTCATCATGAGGTTTACTCGAGAAAGTTCACTTTTGAAAGATAAGAATAAGCGTATCTTATTTAATTACAACAAAAATGTCAGTTGAAATCAAATGGTTGTCAGAAGGAGATGGACAATGTAAGACACGAACTTATTATGGAAGCGTGCGTGCTGGGGTTCTTTATTCGCAATGAGAATGATTATTAAAAGTTTTTAATAGAAGTAAGTAACTAGAATCACTGACCAGATGTTTCAAGTAAGATACAAAGAAACATCGAATAATGACGTAGTAATACCGACAATCTTTAATACAGAAAATTATTTTGTGCCGCGACTGGTGAGAAAATTTGAAAAGGTTTTACATATTTTAAAAATATCATATAAATATACGTCTATAATTACGCATTTTGCATAAATAAACATAATGCCTAAATAGTTATCAATAAATCTGCGGAAACCGGGCGAAAAATTTTCGGTTCACGAAGAATTTTCACTTTGAACTGTTTTAAAATGAATCGAATTTTATCTTTTACAAGATGTTAATTAATTAAAGTTCTTCTAAACAAAAGCACGCAAAATCATTGTTCTGTATTAACTCACGCTGTAATATTTTTTCATAAATATCTATAATTTTCTCAAAAATTTAGTCATTTATTTCACTTGGTCATCGTCATCGCCCATTCATACGGCCCACTGCTGGGCAGGGGTCTCCTCTCAGGCGAGGATTTAGGCCATAGTCCACCACGCCCAAAGCAGGTTGGGGACTTTTCACGTTTTCCGAAGATTGTGAACCCTTCTTCGACGCAAAGATTCCATCACGGTATTTTCTTTGACTGAAAAGTTCATGGTACATTTCAAATTCCATTTTGCATATAAATTCTAAAAAATCTCGGAGGTGCGAGTCTCTATTCGAACCATTTCGAACCCACCACCTCTGCTTGAAAAACGATAGGTCTAAATATTAGGCTACCATGGCTGTTTTTCATTTGTAATTTATTTAAGTTTATTTAGTTTAACTGCCTCCGAGGCCGAACGGTTACCATACCGGACTGCCACGCAGAGGTCCCAGGTTCGATTCCCGGACCGGGAGATATATTTGTATAGCCTACATTTATTTCTCTCGTGAGTTTGGGTATAATTTGTGGTTGTCTATGTGTGTGGCCATAGCACCCGTGACACAGGCTTTCTCTAGGCTATGTTGAGTGTGTACGTTATTATAAATTGTCCTACATTTTAAAAACTTACTTGCATAAAAGTATTTTAATTGAAAAGTCCTATTACAAAATTGAAGACTACTACATAAAGATGTATGGAAAGACGACATGGCTCTAGATTCCACACAAATTTGATTCACAGTATGTTTCATAGCTTTAAAGTTTATTTGAAAAGAACAATCCCTAGACTTTCTTGCTCGTTTTTCTCAGGGAAGTAAGCACAGTGAATAAGCTGGCTTAAAAAAGTAGGTAGCTTAAAAAATATATAATAATTTACCTGTGGAATAAATGATTCTTTGTCTTTGACTTTGGTATCTAATAAAATAATGAACGTAATAATAATTGGAGAAGTACACTTTAATGTACGGTTGAAAAATCACATTCAAAAGTAGAGATTATAAGGTTCGAGTCAAAAGTGTAGCTAGACGAACGAAAAGATAACTTATAGCATAATAACAAATGCTAAATTCACACACCCACGATACCATCTTGGCGCTCACGCTACTTGCACTACTCTGGCTCTCCATGCTGTAAAAACTGACTGCATCCCCTACTTTCTTTAGGTCCGCCCAGAATATTTCGTCGTGGTGGTTCTGAAAGTGGTGGTTTTAAATACAGTATGGTTTTAGGAACATTCTCAAAGAGCCTATTTGGACATTCTTTTAGATCAAAATTTAAATTTAAAATAGTGAAACAAAAACTTTATAAGTACTGAAGATTATTATACAGCTTCTGCGTACTAGGATGACAAAAATCCACGTTAATGACCCGTTTAGCTCTTGCTATTGTAATGATAAATGTATTCAATTCACAAATAGCAATCCTTAGAGTTTCTTGCTCATTCTTCTCAGGGGAATCTGCCTTACAAATGAGCAGTAGAGTTTAAACAGTATGACGTTTTCAAGTGTAATTTGCTTACCTATGAAGATTATTTGACTTTGTATACTTACCTATTTATGCACCTGAAAACGTATATCTCTGTAATGCATCAGTTGAATCGTCAAAGATATTAGCGTATTATAAGATTAACCATATTTAATCGAACATTTTTTGTAATTAATTTTTCAGAGCATATTATTAATCGCGTGCGCTGTGGCCGTGTGCTCCACGCATGCGCAGCGTCTATCCGAAACAAACACAGATATCAATGACGCCCAGAGACGTAGCGGGGGAGGATACGGTTTACTAAGACCTGGTGCTGGTAACGGATACCAGGGTTACAACCCTGGATATAATAACCCCGGATATGGCGGATACGGAAATTATAACCCGGGGTACGGAGGTTATAATCCAGGATATGGAGGCAATTATCCGGGATACGGCCAAGGTTCTTATGGGGGATATCCCGGTCAGAGTGGTTATCCTGGTGGTTATCCTGGTAGCTATCCTGGAGGTGAGATACTTTTTATTATGTCAACTTTGTGTCATACCCACATTGTTGTTTCCGACTAACTAGATAATATCTATAAAAAAATGTACGTGTGTAAAATACGCTAATCACAAAATAATTGACTTATTATCATTAAACACATTTTTCGTTTTGTGGTTCATTTATAATGTATAAGTAGGTAGAGCATCTTCAAATCTATATCTGTTAGTATATTATTTTGTCCAAAAAAAATGTAAGGTACGATATGATAATTAATATACGTATATAAATAAAGAACACTAAAAATCCTCGTATGATAAATACACAGGCGCATACGGTGGATACCCGGGTGGATACGGGGGTTATCCAGGAGGATACGGGGGTTATTCCGGCGGATACGGGGGATATCCGGGCGGATACGGAGGCGGAGGTTTGTACTAGGTTACAACTGCAAGATACTAACAATGTGACTAATGGGGAATAACACAAATATTCAATAGTTTTACAAAGAGATCAACTTCAAGACGCTGCAAAAAATGAAAATCAATTGAATTTCAAAAAAAATCAATTGCAATGTCGTCTTGTTCACCAGTTCTTATTTTTGAAGAAGAATGTACGTATCCTAAGTGTAAGCAGATATATGTCAGGACAACATTCACATCAAAAAATGAGTGACATGCGATTAGAATCATTTAAGTCGATCAAGAGGAAAAGAACGTAATTATTTAATAAATTTTTATGTTACATGCATTTTTCATTTCAATATCCTTGAAGGTAGTAAACACTGGTTTGGTTTAGTACGTAAACAGTAGTAGAGTTAAGAGTAGGTAGTATTATTATTAGGTGCTAGTTGTTGTAGTAATATTGTTGATGTAGAAAACGTAGAAGACTAAGTCCTATACTTCTCATAAAGTAATTAAGGAAATAAGGACTCCAACTGCACTATCTGCACCTATCACTTAAAAACATGTCAAAATTGAACTCTATGAAAATTACGATGAGAAACTATCGTAGTGTGGCAGGGTTCATATGAACTCGTACATTACAAAAATTCCCGCGTCCGGAACGCTCCCGCGGCCGCCTCTGTGTGGCCCGAGCAAGTAAACTTACAGGCACATGGGACTTGTCAACGTATGTCTCAAATAACTTGACAAATCACATGAATTTTAATTCAAAATGGCGGACCCGACTTTTCAAATAAAATCAGTATTTATGGGTATCGTTTTAAAGGTGTCTGGTAATGCCCATTACGATTAATGGCATTAATTTCTAAATCCAAGATGGTGGCCAGCAATTTTCAAAAATTACTTTTTGGTGGTAATCATCACGAAAATGCATTTATTTCTAAATCCAAGATGGTGCCACGACTTTTCAAATAAATGCAATGTGGGTATCGTTTTCAAAGTATTAGGTCATAAAAATAATACGAACTAACTTACATTAAGCAAATTACGTATAACTACATGAAATTTTGTAACTCCTATTTAAACATAAAGAAAAATTAGCAACTACATTGGTTTATAGAATCTTTGAACCTCTTTTATTGAAAAGTTGTCGTTGTCAGATGTGGCCTTATTACCCCAAAGGTGAATTTATAAATCAGTAGTCTAAATTTGACATGTTTGACATGAATATAGGTTCCATAAATAGCACTAAGTCACTGTGCATTCACTCTCATTTAATGCAAATATTGGTACATTCTCACGTATATTAACAACACTACTTGCATACTAACATTTCTGCACGAACGTGTAATGTATAGTAATCGAATTTTATTAAAAAAAGCTACAGTGTGTTGACCGATCGGTTGGCCGCACGAACCAAGGCCAGCATTTAAACTTGAACTTATTTTGAGACTACTTCTTCATCTTGTCGTATATGGCATATCGTCGCCTACTTTCTCAAACTCGTATCTTAAAGCACAAAGTTTTTGAAATGCAAAAAAATGGATTGTAAATACAAATTTTGCAGACTGATTTTACATCACATTTCCTTCGTATTCACATACTGGCTTTTACCTATTGTTAAAGTAATGTATCCAAATTAACAACCTTGATAAGAAATTTAAAATAAATAAAAAGTTTTGCCATCTCCTAAATAATCACTCTATAAGACACGAGTTTGAAAAATAACGCGATGATATGGCATATGGCGACAATACACTTGGCTACTTGTGTTCGCTATTGGGTGTTTAATGTGAAACATGTTTGACCTACAAACAAACATGCAAACACTAACAAATATGACCGTAGGAGTTAAAAGAATGTATACGACCATAGCGCGGACGGTTTGATGCGCGTCGCTGAAATCGATCAGTGCGCGGTAACGCGAGTTTGGTGTTCGCTGTATTTGTCGAATCGGCAAACAAGGCAAATACTTTGTCACACATGCTATCTACACATGGTGACTGTTTGCCATATATATCAAATAGGCAAATACAAATTGCCATGTGAAATGTCACCAATACATTAAAAATGCTTGCCATCGTGGCGAAAGGATTTGCCAATCGGAGGAATCGATTCAGAAATCTTCGATATTTTAACCGAATCGTTCGATTGAATATCGTTCTCAAATCGAAGGGCGCTTTTCGAGCTATTAAGAACATTCCGAGTTAAACATTCCATTCGGATACGGATACGATCACGGACTTGTATAGTAAACATATAAATCCGTGGATACGATATCGTTATCCAACAGAGTTTACGGAGTTAGTCAATGAAAAAGATTACAAAAAAAATTTATATACACTTTTAAAACGTTAAAGGCCTAAATTATAGGAATGCATTAGTCTTGCATTAAAATAAATTAATAAAATTGTACAAAATCCAGACTTTAATTAAAATAATAAGAGATTTCCTTTCTTATTATTTTAAATAAAGTCTGGATTTTGTACAATGTTATTAATTTATTTATTTTATTTATTACCTATATACAAAAAACGTACAGTCGAATTGAGAATATTCTCCTTTTTTTGAAGTCGATTATAAAGGTCCAAATTCCGTCTTATACTTATTTAGAAGACGCTTATCAATAGCCTGGGAGTAAGTTTATATTGTGTTAATAGTCGTGGATATCAATTAATTCCCCTTTAATATGAAATATAATTCTGTTTCTTTTTCCTTCTAATGCTATTCAAATATTAATCATGAACTAAAATTATTTTCTGAACTTTGACAAATATACTTGTCAACAGATGTGTGATCTGTGGCAGTGTGTGTCACAAACTAATTTATAAATTAACGCTTTCTAATATGGGTAGATAACGCTAATTCTAAAGAAAATAATCTGTGCAATAAGCGCCATCTAGTTGATTTCTTTGTTATCACTAGAAATACTAATACAAAGCTACTCCAGCTTTAATAAATTGCAGCTTGTCAATGTAAAACAAATTAGTTGCAAAAATTTGGTACTCGTCGCGACATCTGGTATACCAATAAGTACTAAATATCCAACTGCGCTGTCTTGTTATTGTTTAGTTCAGTCTAAAAGCCATGATAAAACTGACACTAAATAAGATATAAATAAAGCGATTAGAGAGGGTTGTAGATCTCGGTTCATTGATCCCAGATATGTTAATAACTCAATTTTACTAAAATTACGTTTACGTTAGTTATGATGAGGATGGGTGAATGATAAGTCGTGCGGGAAGGCTCCTTTCTCGCACCCCTTGGAACTATTGTGGGTAGTGAACTGAGCATCATAAGCACTACCAAAATTTCACTAAACAATAACATCATTTAAATTTTTGTTGAATTGATATTCAATTCTTTGTTATGTGAAATTACTCCACTAGTTTGTTATAATTATTAATACAAAGATCGAATACTCAGAAAAAAATGCTTCGATCCGGCCGGATTCGAAGCTAAGTTTTCTAGCAAACCGTGCGAGACGCTATGCCAACTTAGCAACGGAACGAACCAGCGGACCTCACGAATTTGTCTATGTGCTGACTGACTATTAGCCGTAGCGACATCTATGAGAAATATATGAAAGTATTTCATCACAAAATTAGATATCTTTACAGCTACCAGCCCCGGCTAGAGATGTCGCTATTCACTGTATTTAAATTTTTATTGAATTGATATTCAATTATTTTTTATGTAAAATTCGTCTCCTAGCAAACCGTGCCAGATGCCGTCTGACACGGTTTGCTAGAAGACGTCGGTTCGAATCCGTCCGGACGAAGCATTGACTTACAAATTATATGGACGTCGGGTCCGCGCTAAAAAGTGTCCGAACTTATAGGGCGTTAAAATCGTATACAGAGCGTCATTCACGCTTTAGTCTTCGTTTGTTCGACTGATAGCGAAGCAAGCAAAATTAGACAGTACTGCGATGATATTACAATTCAAATTCAACGTTTTAGCTTTTTCATATTCCTTTACATGTCACTACGTTTAAATAGGTTGACTTGGGACATTTTTTTCGTGGTTTTTGTATTAGACCCGTCGACCATTTATTTGTAAGTCAATTTGACGAAGGAATTTATTCTAAGTGTTCTTTGTATTAATAATAATTATAATAACATCATTATTATGAACCGATGGAATCCAACTGATGGGCACCGGTCTCCTCAAAAAGAAGTGAGAGAAAGTTCAGGCGAAAATATTGTCTGGATCTGAATCACTTCACATATTATGTACTCGGGATAAAGCTTTAAGAGACTATATAACCTCAAATGGATTTGGTTGATTCTCCATAACAGTGAAGGTGTTGAATCAATTAAATAGTAAAATTGAGTATATACACTGATTACTAAACGATGTGAAAATATGCTTCCTAAAAATTTTATATTTATAACGAAAAATCTCACTTTGCAGGATATTCTGGCTTCCGTCCAGGATATACAGGTTTCAGGCCTGGTTTCAACAACCCGGGCTACAATTATCCTGGTAGCACCTTCGGTTATCAAGGTTACAGACCCGGTTTCAACCAGTATCGGCCGAGTGTCAACGGACCTTTACCCGGTAATTACTTTGGTGGACATGGAGATGGATACAACGACAACTTCAGGCTGTTAGGAAGAAAAGTATCAGATGAATCAAAGAGCAATGACAGCAGCAATAATAATGAAGCTTAATAATTCCAAAAAGTGTTCAAATTTATTTAAAATAACATTATCACTGCGAAGTTTGACAAGTTATTTTTTAACCCTGAAATGTTGACGATACTTTTAACATCAATGTTTATATTGTCGATATGAAAGTACAGTTCTTTATAACATGGTTCAAACATAACTGGCCAGTCTTTACCACCTGTTATATTTACTAATAGTTTAAGGATGATCTAATATGTTGCACTGATATTTTTGTTACCGAACAATAAAAAAATAATTTATGTAAACAGGCTTTTATTTTTGTTTTTTTTTAATAATATCAATTGACGGGACAAACAAGTCGTGTGCCTGGTAGTACAACACGCCTGTCTATAACAGTTGCAGTTGCACTAAGAGCTTTGAATCGCAAAGATCCGAGGGACACTGCCACTGCACCCGTCACAGTGAGACATAAGTTGGCAAGTCCCATGTGTCTGTAATTTCACCAGCACCGTTACCCTCCAAAACTGGAACGCAGTAATTCTCACATTACTGCTTGGCAGAAATATGTAAGGTGGCACTCCTCTGGACGAGCTCTTTCAAAAGGAATTCTACTGCTACTAAATTTAAAATGTTTATTAACATACTGTCCTTATTGTCGGCTAAAGTAGTAGATCTGTTTTTTCTAAAACCATTTTGTGAATCTGTGAACAGTTCATACTTTTCACAGTAAGAATAAATTCGATTGCACATAGCCTTTTCAAATATCTTAGACGATGTGGGTAGTAGTGCTATTGGTCTATAATTATTTGGGTCCAAATTAGTATTTTTTTTTGTGTATAGGTTTTATAATGGCTACTTTTAACTGGTCCGGAAAAGTTCCTTCAAGAAAAGATTGATTCACTAGTAGGTAGTACGGCAAAGTTAGTTCATCAGCACACATTTTGACCAATTTTGGGGGTATTTCGTCAATTCCATAGCTATGTTTGTTTTTTTTGTTACGGATTATGTTTTTTATTTCTTGTGGTGAGACGGGGGTAAGGTACATGGTGTTCTCAGTTTGATTAACTATAGGTCGCCTACATCTTGAGTTAGATGCCCCCCCTTCTCCCACTGATGCGAAAAAATTATTGAATGTATTTGCAACTTGCATTACGTTTTCAACATTATGTTTTCTTTACTTTTTATAACTGTTTTGTTAGTAGTTTCCCTAATTGTTCTCCAGACGCTTTTTACAATATCAACAGCACGCTTGAAAACGATACCTTCTGAAAAGCGATTTCGAGTAAACCATGCATTAAAATAAGGTTTGTAAATAATAACTACACGGATATTAATTAAGTAGTATTTATTTATTAACAATTTCAGTATAATATTTCAGTTAAATATCGTCAGCAGACATAGTAATATGCCAACCTCTCGCTTCCATTCACATCATTCCATCCACAGACGCCTGTATTTTCTATGTAGGTACTTTTGACGTGACCTTTTTAAGTACACTTCAATCTATCACGTCAAAAAATACTTTTGCATACATCCAGTAATGTAATGGCATATTATAGATTTATCTGCGATGAAAACATGGGAAACTCCTAGCCATTCAACGATATGTCTAGATCCACCTACTTAGAAGACTCGTTAATAGTTGCTACCGCTACCACTAAACCAATCGCTGGTCATAGAGAAGAACGAAGCTGCGCCGGAGCGTGCGTTTGCGAAGTTAATCGGCAGGGAGGCCGTCATCAGTTCGGAGATATCCGGACGGGACTTGTTAGGGCTTGACGATACTGGTTTCTTCTTTGTCTGTAAATTAGAGAAATTATTTTTTTTAAATGGTTACCATTTTTGCTTGTTTGACTTAAGATCAGGTATTTTATTGTCTGCTATAACACGCCCTGTAAATCACGGCAATGTAAGGCGCGCCACACATATATTCTGGCCAGCATGTTCGACACTGAAAGCATGTATTCGGACGTTAATCGTGCAAGTCAAACAGGTTTTGTTGCGTCACATCGGGCAATAATTGTTACAATTTAAATCGAATACTTCAAGACTAATTTGTGTCGTCTGTGCTGTTGGAGAAACTCTGCCGAAGTAAGAAGCATTTTTCAGTTGTTTTAATTTCACTCCAATAAGTTGTATGTGTATGTCAGGATAGCAACCTATCTGGTATCACCAGTAATGTGCAAGCGCCCGGGTTTTAACCCTTGTTGAATCGGGTTAGAACTCATTAACGCTCAAAATCGAAGGCAAACACTATTTACAACTAAATATTTGTCGTATATCGAATTAGGTTCAAATTTAATGATATTATTACAAAATGTTTATTACTTTCTGATGTAGACGATTCAATTGTACTTTATTTTGAATCGATTCGCTTGAAAATCGCATTGAAATAAATCGACATAAAGAATCGTTAGATTGTATGCACTTGAATCGATCTTCTTAAAAATCTAAGTGCAAGGTGGGTATTGTGTGGAGTCGCCTCTTTTTCGTCTAAAAACATTTTTTATATCGAAAGGATAATGGCAAACTCCCATATAAATGTTTGTTGACATAATTTGTATGCGTATGTTGAAGAAAAATATGTGAAAATATAATTATTTCGAACGAAATTCCTGAACAAAGTTTGTTTCGGGTTTACTATTGTTAAAAATCAGGAATTAAAAATATTCCAGTTTGAAGTTTTGGAGGTTATGTGTTACGTTATTCAATAAAATATATTCAGTGTATTATTATATCAAAATAAACTACAGAAGCCTTAAACAGAATTAACAGAAGCTGAACGATGCCGTGGGTTTGTGAAGTGACGAAATTTCTGGTGTACTATGTGAGTAACGAATGGCGATAATGCGAAGACGGTTAAATGCGTGATAGTCCATTTGCGCGAATGGTCAGCTGCGCGAAAGTTTGAATGCGTGATAGCTTTACACTATCGCGTAATCGGCATTCGCAGTCATGTAGTACAACCCCGAGAGTTCAGAGGAAATTATTTTGTATATTGGTATGATCAAAAGGCATGAAGTTAAGCTATAACAAAAAAAAACTGAGTTAATTAATAACATACCACAGACTACTGGACTGGTAACTTGGACACAAATTATTTTTTTGTGAAACGTGCCATCTATTGCTGATGTTGGGAACTTTTTGTCTGTTTTACCATTTTCTCACGTGGCATTTTGGAGAATAATATATCAACTTTATTTTTTGTAATGAAGTAGTCAATATTTTATTAGCTTATTGCAAATCGGTCGATCCGTACAGTTGATATTACGCGAACTAAATATGGACAATATCCATACGTAGGTACTGAAATTCCTTTTTTGGCGGCTAGATGTCGCTCAACGTTAAGAAAGTGATAGTTGTAGATATCAGTCCGGTTAGATACTAATTAGTCCACAGAGTTTCTTTTAAATATTGTTTTATTTCCGGACTCAGATAGGCGGCTATTACATGTAATTTCAAAAACCTAACTAATTTATTTAATTCAAACTTGTAATTAGGTCATTTGAAGACGCTAACGAATTCATTTAATTATGATTTTGACATTGGTCTTTGTAATAAGTATAATCTTAAAAAAATTTCGTATTCGTCGTTTCTGCCCACGATTTCGGGCAGAAGAGGGTTAAAACCAGGGCAGGTTAACCCACTGCTTATCTCTGGGTGTCACTGATTACTTGATTGATTAATAATACCAATTGTCGTCCAGAATACATTTACAGCACGATCGCGTTGTATTTTGCACGTACTTTTTTAAATCTAACTTGTCTGTTTCCCAAAAGTTGCTTTTCGGATTATGCCACTTTGTTATTGTATTAAGGGTACGATATGCATAATCAGCAATTTACAAGAGTGAGAAATTCCACTGCAATCACATTTAAAATTCGAGTTGGAAAAAACCACTATGATGAACGTAATAAGGTTTAATTTCGATACATTATTATTTCAACAATAACGACTAGAATCAATATATATATCTAGTTTATAAATAAACATGCATAAACACCACAGTTATTATTTAAAAAAAAAATGTCAAAAAATCACCACACTCGTAATTTATCAGTTTGTAGCACGAATAAAGTAAGATTTGATCTAAAGTAGATAAATACAACGCAATACTGTCTTTAAACGAAAAATCTCGCTTTTTACAATTTAAATATTTCAAAAAATGTTAAAGTTCATATCCCTAAAGTAGACTTTTTCGTTTAGTGACTGTATTGATTTCAACGTGCGGTATGAGTTTTAATATTCGGTTCCAGTACATAAATAATCATGCAGTTATAAACAGCGAAGTTATTCATTGAAAAAAACCTATGTCAAAATCCACCACACTCTTACTTATCATTTCACAGCATGAAGTAACGAAGATTTGGTTTTAACTAAAGTAGACAAAATAAACTTTAAATAAATAATAATTTTAAAAAATCAAACCAAGAAGCAACGATTTTGCGACAACAGTCGGAAGTACGAACAGTACGGTAATGAGTGAATAACAAATGTCGCTAGCGGTCACTAAAATATTTGCATACAAAATTTTACTTCTTTTTGTCATTAAGGTCCATAGCTCAGTTGGGAGAGCGATAGTCCCGGTTTGACGAAAGATCGTTGAGAGTTTTCTTTGTATTTTGTTCGATCTTTGTGTTAATAATAACAACAAACTGGCCTACCGCTTAACTGAGTCGGTTCCTGGGGGAATATTCTCGTTTTCCATTCGACATCAGTCCTAAACAATTACTGTCAAATAAGTAAGACTTTTAATTTACTCGAGTATTACGTATTAGCCAGTCATTGTTTCGGACTGAGAACGGGAGTCATCGAGTATATAACCAGAAATAGAGACGAAATGTTATTTGATATGTTTGAAAACTATTCTGCCAAATCATTACGGTGACAGCTGCGCTTCGAAACAATTGAGGGGTCTCGTCAATTGTTTCACTTCAAATCGACCAGTTTATCTTGAGCTTTGCTATAATGGACGAAAATTTAAAAGTTACATATTTAATATTGAATTATCGATGAAATGTGATTCCGTTTGTTTTGTAATTAGATGTTTTGCTGTTTTTCCCACACCACCGAATGGAACAGCCCCCATTTTTTTAATGTACGGAGACGTACACACAGGTTAGTTGTTGGCGCTGTACTATTTTCGCTTTCTAATTTGTGATTTCAGTGCAAACGAGAGTTCATATTTAAAAGTGATATAAGGCCCATTTGCCCGATGAGTCTTTTTTAGTTTTGCCAGGGATGGATGCCTTATTTCTTCTCTATTTCTCGTTATATACTCGATCACGAGAGAACAGGGCTGCAAGTAGCTACGCGGCGCGGGAGGAGTGACAGTATACGTAACAGTATACGGGATAATTTCAACAAGATATTTCTGACGATATTCAATAGCAAAATGGAAACAAGTGCCTACCAAATTAGTAAATTGTAGTTATGTGACCATGATAAAAAACTTTTTCATTGATAATTGAAATGAATAGACAAGCCATTTGGCACGTTTCTCCGTTTCGGCTTTCATGATGACGGAACACGTGCGATGGTAACTTCCACTATCTCCTATGCAAGCGACTCACGGGCTTGTCCTGCTTCTTGAGGGCGGCGTGCGGCGCGGCGACGGGCAGCAGCGAGAACCAGAGCGCGTCGCCGTGCGCCAGCAGCGCCGCGGCCTTGTCGCCGCTGCCGCCCGACAGCACCGGCTTGCTGCCGATGATGCCGGTCAGCTGGCCGTGGTGGAGGATGAGGCTGCCCAGGAGTGTCTGAAAGTGATTGGGGAAAATTTGTTTTTTCTAACTGACTTCAAAAAGGACTTAATTCTCTCTCTCTCAAAACTCCCAATTGGACATTTTTTTTATGCATGTTATGCGATTACTCCGGCCAATTTGTGAGCCAATTTTGATTATTCTACTTCCATTGGAAAGCGGGTACCTCAGTATTGGTCCCATTTAAATTTCAAGAAAATGTTCCACCTCTTAAGGGTAAATAGATTAAATAGGGATTACAATAAAACTTGGCAAATCGATGTAATTCCGCGAAGTTTTCGGTCGGTTTTTTGTTATTAAAAAGTTGTTATTATAGAGTTCTTAGGTTTTCGCGATTGTTACACGTAGGAAATGAAACAATTTTTTTAATAAAGTTGCTCAAAACGTGGTATTTTTCGCACTTCAAATCGTGCGGAAAGTTGGATTTCTCGCACTAGTGCTTTTTACTTTTCCAGTTTTTTTTTAATTTACTGTTGTTTTAAGTCTTAAACATAGAACTAAAGAGATTGTATATTTATTTCATATTTATGTGCTTTGTGACGTAAGTCATTCGTCATTAAAACTTATATTTATTTACAAATACTATATAATGAACGTATCGAGTAGAGGTCCACAGTCTCTGCCTACCCCTGAATGGGTGACAGGCGAGATTTCTATGTATATATTTGTTTTATGTATTACAGATAAATCGTATCTCACTACCGTGCACGGGTTCCTAAAGAAGTTTAAACAAAAGTACCAGGACTTCATAATAAGAAAAATGGTTACAGACCGATATTACAGAAAATAAACAAAAACAGCACGTTAGAACTAGATTTCCATAGACTTTTCACTAATGGTTGCAGTGGTGGTATTTCATTATTTTAATTTACTAGCAGAAAATGAGTTTTGTTTAAATACTGTTTTATTTTACTTTCAATGTAGTTTTTTCGCAAATGTATTAAAAAACGTCGTTTGATACACGTGCGGATTTGTCATTTTCACTTGTCTCGAGTCTTGACCCTCGCCTCTGGCTCGTGCCAAGAAGCATCGAGCCTTGTGAATAATGACTAACTTTCCGCACTTATGTATATCAAAAATAACTATTCCGGATTTAAATCGCGTATATTTGTTTTGTTTGAATAAAAAAAAATACGCGATTTAAATCCGGAAAAATAGTTTCATTTCCTAAGTTGTTATTATTTATAATACTATGTAAAGGGATGAACAAGTCGTGAGCCTGGTGGTAAGCGACACGCCTGTCCATAACAGTTGCAGTGCCACTTACGAGCTTAGCTTTGAATCGCAAAGATCTAAGGAGCACTGCCACTGCACCCGTCACTCTGGAACATAAATAATTGATGTTGTTGATACCGTTGTCCCAAGTGGTGATGTTGTTGTCGTCCCAAGTCCCTACTAATAATATGTTCACTAATCATACTATGAACTTACCTGTACCCTCTGTACCGATCTCTTCAAATTAGTCTGTATAAAAGGATAGAACACGTCGTAGTCAAATGGATCTATTTTCTGCCTTAGAAACTCGCAAATTTCGTGAGAAAAGTCCATAGATTTCTTGTTCTCCCTTGGTACCATTAGCATAGTCAAATGGCGGACATCCATTAACAATTGAAGCGCGCATCTCTGGTTTATATCTGCTTCTTTCTCTCTAATTACTTCATTGTAATGATCGAAAGTAATAGTAGTAACTTTTTCAATGAAATTTGTATGAATTTCAAAAGGTAACGTGTGCGGAACAACTTCGTCTAGAATACGGCTGACGGCGTAGAGATACTCTTGCAATTTCAATGATGGGCCAGCCGGTACTTTTATTGTCGATTCTATCGCGTTGCCCTCTTCGTCTTTCTCTTCAATTTTTATAACGTCCCATTGCTGCAAAGCAAAACTATACTAAAGACACTCGTTTTTTAGTTTTAATTACATTAAATATTCAGTTTCTTAATTATTTTTAAGCGCGAGGCTTTATAGGCAAAGCTGATTAAAAAAAACTTTGCATCAATGTCAAACAACATTATCTACATGAAAAAGTACTGGAAAAATATACTATACTATTTCATGTCAGATTGTAAGGTTAATTGTGACAATAATAGAGTACATTTTAATCGGGTTAATATTATTTAATCCTCTAGGAAATAACTGATCTACTCGTATTGTAAATGTGTTCCTTTTCCTTCAACAATCGATTTTTTTTTTCGTTTGATATATATATTAATTGTTCCATGTATATTAGTTAGAGATGGGAAAAACTGCTTATTTTTTAAAAGTTTAAACGTTATGCTTTTTTTTAAAAAAAACGTGCTTTTTTTAAACGTTTTTTCACTTAAACGCTTTTTAGTTTGAAGCTCACAAAATCGTTTATAAAAAGTTGAAGCGCATAGACTTTTATGTTAAAAAAAGCTTGCAACGTTGTGTTGATAACGAAACGCAAGAGTAGACCACTAAAGGTTTTATAAGTATTTTTGTAAAAAACGATTTATATTTTTATTTATGACATAACATTATTATATTAACATTTTATTCATTGGCGTTTAAAAGCGTTCAAAAACGTAAGTTGTTTAACTTTTGTAGTTGTTAACCGTTGAAATGGAAAAACTGCTTATTTATTTAGAGTTAAAACGTACGTTTAAAAAACGTGCTTGTAAAAGCGCTTTTCACACGCTTTTTAGTTTGACGCTTAAAAAATCGTTTTGAAAAACGTTTAAGCGCATAGACTTTATGTTTAAAAAAGCTTGCAACGTTATGTTGAATTAATTTGTTTAGGAAACATAGATGGCGCTACTTGAAACTTAAGCACGTTGCAAAAAATGAAATTGTTCTAGTCAGTTGACCAGTGACCAACGCTTACGCTTAAAATGAAAACGTGCTTATGCGCTTATTTTAAAAAGCAGACTATTTAAGTGCTTTTCGTTTAAACGCCCACCTCTAAGTCAAAGTCAAAGATCATTTATTCCATAGGTAAAATAAATTTACACTTGAAATCGTCACTTTTAAGCTACTGCTCGTTCACTACGCTGACCTCCCTGAGAAGAACGAGCAAGAAACTCTAGGGATTGCTCTCTTCAAATAAACTTAAATGCTATGGAATACACTTTGAATCGAATTTGTGTGGATTCTGGAGCCATGTCGTCTTTCCAAACATCTTTATCTAACACGTAGTCTTCAATTTTGTAATATGATTTTTCAATCAAAATATTTTTAATGTAGTTTTTAAACTTAGGAAATGATAAACTTAATATGCTCCGGAATCTTATTGTAAAAACGTATACAGTTCTAATATTAGTTGATCTATGGGTAAATTATAAATGAACTGCATTCAAGGTAACACTATTATTATGTTTAAGCATACTAAATTAATATTTAATATTCAAATATAATATTTGATCCTTTTTTTAATATTGGTGCTTTTAACGATTGATGACTTTTATAACCAGTTTCTTTTGATATTGATTTCGTAACAAATCTTGGCTGCTTGGTTGCGCCAACCATTCAGCAGGGTACGATAGGTTAGTATGTGAAAAAGCAGGCAAATTGCTTGCGTTTCCGTCTTAATTTATATTATAATTAATATTATATTAGTATACAAATATAATCAACATCACTTGGTTTTAAAATAAGTATCTAAATTTTATTTTTAATTCTCATTTGTGTTAGTTTTGAGGCCCAACATAAAACTATCAAAGTTAATTTATACAAAGCAACCATTTTTTTGCGTAGCTCACAACCGATTAAAATATCTATCGATTTAATTTATTTTATGTCTCAGAGAAAGACGATTACTGATTAAAAAAGATGATCGTTTATATTGCTATGCCTGCAGCTTTTACAAATTTAAAATGATCTTTTAAATACATGTCATTTTAATCATCTAAAACCAAGTAAAATTTTTTTGACTTTAGAGATATCAGCAAGATAAGCTTCGGAAGTAGTTTTATATTTCTCCTGAAAAGTACGATTGTTTTTACGTAATTTGTCATTAAAACAATAATTATAACATTGCCAGCAAGTTTCCAAATTTTCAAGATATTTATTTTCTTTGATAATTATCGGATAAAATAATTGGTCGTACCGGAAATCAAACATAGGACCTCTTTTATCCTTGCAAACCGTTGGGCCACCGATGTCGTCTAATAATGTTAAGCAAAAGTTTTTCTAATACATCTTTGAAGTGTCGTGTAGTTTATTAACCCATTTATACATCATCAGAATTTAAAAATTTATTTAGTTTTCTAAGTGAAACAGTCTGTCAGTTCTCCGACAAGAAATAAAATAAAATAAATGAATATACACTCTACTGCCATACACGGGTCTTTATCAAGCCACAGGAATATTTCGATGTGGATTGGGTACGTAAATGTGTGCGCAAAACTTAAAACAATTCTTTTCCTTGTGATTATCATTTTGCAATTAATGTTTCTACAGTTTACCACAAAAAAAAACCATATTAAAACTTACCATCATTAAATAATCAATATTGGCCTCCAATGTGAATTCTTGAGGAAGGTGCCCAGTCAACTCCGTCACCTTTGTCATAACAATGTCCACCCACTTACTCCAACAGTACAAATAATTATCTTTCAAATTACTACAAAGTGCATTCCACCTTTTCAACGCATTATCATCTATGGTGACAACTCCTAAAGAATCAAATTCTTCAGGAATATAACTCTTACGTAAATGGGGCGCAAGTGTGGTTATTGCTTGGATGAATCGCGCCGTGTAGATGGCTGTTGTTTTCTGTTGCAATTCGTTTGATTGCAGCGTTTGTTCTTCGAAACACGCTTTTATGTATTGGAGCATGCTGTGAAGAAAAAAATATTCTGTTAATTTGTTATTATTATTAATACAAGGATCGAAAAATAGACAAAGAAAAATTAATTGGATCTGACAGAACTCGAACCAATATCTGTTGTCTCAACGTGGCTACTCAATTGTCAATATTTGTCCTGTGTTTTCATCCGACTTATGTCTTGAAATAACTCAACATCGTAGGCGAGAGGTAAATAAAATAACCTTAAGTGACAAATAGTAATTTTTACTACAGAGCGTTTTGAAGAAAATTCGGTTCTTAATTACGTTCTTAATTACGCCTAGGCACACGGCGTATTTTATACGCTTTTATAGCTCTTAGGTCAAATAAACTATGTTAAATGAAAAAAAAACAAACAACGATAGGATTTAATGTCTTTTAGCATTGCGTGATTTATTCATTTTTTTGTTTACCAACAGCTAATACATTGTGACTCGTTTCCTAGGTACAACAATTTGTGGTTTTAAATGTAATGCACATCTAAGTACAGTTAAGCGTCGCATGCAAAAAAAATGGCAAACAAACTTATAACATTTAACTTAACTATGTAATATTATTAGAAACAAATACTAATAACTACCTACGTTTATACAACAAAATGCTATTTTATATTAATATTTTTTTAAAACAAAGGCAAACAATCTGGAAGAACGTCCAAATATTCACTATTTTTATATTATATAAGTTGCAAATTCTGTATATGGGTGAGTTCGTACCAATTTTGGTTTTTCGAAGAGGTGGGCAAAGTGGTTGGATAAAGTATCGGGGGTATTTTTGAGGCACTCTAAATCTTATTTGGCTTAGTAGAATCGGACTTGATTGGTTTCGTAGTAACTTGTAAAGAAAAATAAGATCTAATCTATCCCTACGGTTTTCAAGGCACATCATATGAAATCGCTCAAGTCTCATTTTGTAAGAAGATCGTTTATGTTTTCCCTGCAAATAGGCCAGGTGGCACAAGTAAGATCATCTTAATTCCAAAATATGGATTTAAGGTTCTTTACCTCTCACCTACAGAGTTTTGAATCTCTAAAATAATATAGAGGGAATTCATGTAAAGCACGCGCCGTGGGCCTCATCCTGCAAACTCGCTTAGTTTGTCGAATCGAGAGCAGAGTCGACGCGTGCGCGATTTAAAATATTTTTGACATACTAACTGTTCTCTGTACGCATGTAATTCGACTCGAAAATATAATTTAGATTAAATATAATTATTTGACTTACTAATGTAGAACTTAAATCACTTCATGTTCATGGTTTGCCCACTCCTTATTATTATTAAATTATTCATACGAATGCAAATAAATTATTGTTTACATTATAATAATAGTCAAATGGTTTTTTTTTTTCATTTTGTGACAACCCTTGCATATCTACGTATGACGACGTAACTACTACAGGAGCGGCGGTATCGCCGAGCTTCAAAGGCATTGCGCTTCTGTAGGAAAGATATTGTAATACTGCACCTATTCTATCCATCCGAAATCAATGATTAAGTACACCATCAATAAAATCAAAAACATACCTTTGAATATTCTTATCAGAAATATCTCTGAGGTACAATTCAATATCGCCTTTATCGCTGTACACTTGATCAGCGTCGTCCACATCATCATAAGTAAACAGCAACTTGTCTCGGGGGCTGGACATTTTACGATCACGGTATAGATATATTCTTAGATCTTCCAGAAGCTTCTGTAGCTCGGCGTCCAGAGTAAAGCAGAGTTTTTCTAGATTTGGTGTGTAGCCGCGATCTTGGCGAGACATGCCTGCGAGGACAATTTCAAATGACATTAAACATGTGTTAACGCAAAAGAACTCCGGCGCCGCTGGGCAGCCCGCGCGCCCCTCACTCGATTCATTCCGCCATCGTAGCTAAGCGTGTTCACACGTATTACCTTTTATTGTAGTCAAATTGGAATACACGCTCCAAAAGGTTTGTTATGTCATTTTATTTTATTAAGTAGCTGAATCTTTAATAGTAAAGTATTAACATATTACATATAGTATACATATAGTTTGTATTTTATGAATAAAACGAGAATTCATTGCACAAAACCGTTGCCCGTTTGCAACCAGCTAGTGATTACAATCGATAAATATTCTATCGACTGAATGTTAGATATATAGAGATAGAGAGACATGTATTTGTAAGCATACATGGCAAATAGATATTTAAGATTACACTTATTTAGTAAATATTATACAATGTTCGCATTATTATTAAAGTCATATTATATTATATAATAAACATTTTCTAATTAAATAATATAATTAAAGAAAAATTATGATTTAATAATCTCAGTACAGAATACTAAAAAAGCCGACCTCAAAAGTATGTGAAATTACATCTATTTGCCAAGTTTTATTGAAATATCTCCTAGTTCGCCACTATACAGGACTTGGCACTGGATATAATAAAAATCGGCTCTCACTACTCAAAGTATATTGAGAGAGAAAAACGCCTTGAATTGGAGAATAGCCAAACCAACCATTAAAATAATTGTTCCTTAAGTAAAATTTAGGCGCTATTTATAAAAATGAATGTTCATGCGTGATCAACCACCCTTAGAGGTGGATGACTTTCTTCAAAATGAAATGGGATCACTATGGAGGTACCCTCATTCCAACAAAAAAGGAGTTATCGAGTAACATACATACAAAAAAAACCATATAGTCGAATTGAGAACCTCCTCCTTTTTTGACGTCGGTTAATAAAAAAGAGGAACGCGTGTCAAAATAATAACTATGTATAGTAACTATGAGGTTCGCAGGCTTTAAAATTTAAATATCAAAAACTCATTTACATTATAAAAACAATTTATCACAAGTAATCTAATAGTACTTTCATAATCTAGACGTAGGTAACATTGTTATATCGTCAGGTAATACATTGTATTATAATTTTATGCACATGTTATGGCAATTTCTTTGGAAACATGTAGTAGTGTGCACATATCGGGCCAAACGATAGGGATATCGGGTTAAAAAAGGAAATTTTTTTAAGTATATTAATATACATCTAGAATATATACAAAGAATGGTCAACATTCTTAATTTTTTAAAATAAGATTTGATTGATTGATTGATAAGAGTTTGCAGCTATCTCACATACCAGTACGACCATAGATTTAGTATATGGGTACCTATATACTTAATCAATGAGTACGACACATCGCCCTTACGCACTGCTTCTCTGGAATAAAAGCTCGACCTATTGTGAACAGTTAGTCACGCATATGACTGCATATGCGTGACTAACTGTTTACTGAACAATTTATTGAAATTGCCGAACTTGTTTAATTACAACATCAGCCCATTATTCGTCCAACTGTTGGGCACAGGTTCATTTGAATTGACAATTTTTGTAACTTTATACATACGTACATACACTGCATTTAGAAGTATGTCTATTAAAAATATAAAGAGAAGACATATTTTAAAGTTTTTAATTCAATACAGGTAATCAAATCCGTACGTTCTTATTAAAATACATATAATCATATAAATTGGTTTTGAGGCCCTCAGTCAAAATATGAATAAAGGCTATAACGCAATTACAGGCCTACCGCTGAACTGAGTCGGTTCCTGTGGTAGCTGCGCGGTACAGGAGTGACAGTTTACGTAACAGTTATATCGCGCTGCACAAGGGGTAATTTCAACCAGATTTTTCTGACGATATTCAATAACAAGTTGATTGAGAATAGTGCGAAATGGCTCGTCTATTCATGTCAATTATCAATTAAATAATTTTTTTAACATTTGATATGTATCAACAAGAATTGGCTAATTTGGTAGGCACTTTTTTCAATCAACTTGGTATAGAATATCGTCAGAAAAATCTTGTTGAAACAAATCCGTGTGCATCATGATACAACTATTACGTAGACGTAGTTTTTAACTTCCTCCCAAGTATGATGAAAAATATTGTATGCCATTCTGGAGGAAAAGCAATTAGAAACATTCGGGTCATTAAGGCTCGAGCCAACAGTCTGTTCGTTATTGCCTACTTACTGCCAAAATTTCTTTGAATTTATCTCTCAATGACCCACAGTTTGCAAATTGCCTTTACAGCACTCTTTTGCAGTTGACAAAGATTATATTAATGACGGCGGCATTTAATACATTGGTAACGTCTAAATATAACGTATAAGATAGTATAATAGGCAATAGTCGCTATAGGCTGTTCCAAATGAGTAGATAAATTAATTTATTTATTTATTTTATTTTTAATTTTTTTTATTTATAAATGTCTACATATAACCATCAAGGTTCACTAATTAACTTTTTTCGAATTCCAGATTTCCGGAAATAGTTTTACTGCATCGTAAGATAAAATTACACGCTTAGAAAACTGAAGTTGGATTTTAAAACAATTGTGGGGGCACCATGTAAAATAAACATTTAGTAGATAATTAACCCTTCACCAAAGTAAACATTTTTCATGCTCTACAAACAAAAGCTTATTTTAACTAATGTACATGATACACCTATGAATTTCATTATGAAATCGAAAAATTATTTTCACACACACTCATAGCCTTGTACTAGAAAAACCCTGTATCGCGGGTGCCATGGACACACACACATAGACAACCACAAATTACACCCAAACTCACGAGAGAACTAAATGTAGGCCATACAAGGCCCAGGACCTTTTTTTATAATATGAAGTGACAGGACGAACAAGTCGTCTGCCTGGTTTTAAGTGACACGTCTGTCCATAACAGTTGCAGTGCCACTCAGAGCTTTAAATCGCAAAGATCTAGAGGCACTGCCAGTGTGCCCGTCACCTTGAGCCATAAGTTGACAAGTCCCATGTACCTGTAATTTCACCAACACCCCTACCCTTCAAAATCGGTTGACGGCAGAAATAGGTGAGGTGGCAGTACTTCCCAGGACAAACTCTGTCACAAGGACCTCTACTGTTTCTTAAAAACTGTATCTCTGCGTGCAAGACCAGCGTGGTAACCGTTCAGCCACGATGCAGTTAATTAACATTTGGTGGTTTTAACCACCAAATTTCTTGTAGACATTTATCTACCCATTTGGCACAACCTACTCCGACAATCAATACCCGAATAATAAGCAGTAATTACATCTATTTGCTAAGTTTTATTGAAATCTGTTACCAAAAACGCGCAAACCGGATTCATGACATAGTTCGCCACTTTCAGAGGTGGAATAATTTCTTCAAATTTAAATGGGACCAATACTGAGGTGCCCTCTTTCCAATAAAAAATATTCATCAAAATCGGTTCACAAATGCCGGAATAACCGCGTAACATACATAAAAAAAAACAATCGAATTGAGAAAATCCTCCTTTTTTTCAAATCATTTAAAAATAAGCCTGAGACAACCTACATTTTGGAATGTTTAGAAAATACTTAAAAATAAGGTAGTGTTTTTTTTACATATTCGGTATGGGTATCAACTACTTATTCGCCTGTTTAAATATTTATCTCGTTCAACCAGTCACTGTATATAAACATACTATATATTAGTAAAACATTTCTTACCTTTCATAAGCGAATTCATGACCTTGACAACATCGCTTCTTGACTCAATGATCGTCTCTCCAATAAGGTCCTTCCAGACGAACCAATTAATATCAGCTTCCTTCTCCACTTCGTTCTCAAGAGGCTTACTCAAGTCGATCAACAACTGGGTCTTGAACGAGTCATATATTTTTAACCATCGGTTGTCTATTATTGATTTTACACGCGATGTGAGCAATGGTTGGAAGTAATAACACCAGATGTGCACTTCTGGTATGTCCAGTGACGAACAGATGGTCGACCATTTGGACGGGGTCTCTGAAAGGAAGAACCATAGAATGATTAGTTAACATTGACTGTTAAAAGATTTTTTTATGATACCCACGGTTATGGCTGTCCAAAAACTAAAAAATAGTTTCATTTCCTATGTATAACAACCGCGAAAACCTAACAACTCGATATTTATACATCAATTAATAGAATTCACGGAAAGTGGATGAAATCCGATAAACCGGATTAATTCCCTTTTGCCACCCTTAGAGGTGGAATATTTTCTTCAAATTTCAACGGGACTACTACTGACATACCCCCTTTCCAACAATCATAAAATCATCGTCTCTGGCCAGCAGATTAAGCTCCGCTGCATACGCAGTCCGCAGAATACGTGAGCTTACCGATGTTAGTACTGCTAGACTAGTTTACTTTAGTTACTTCCATAGTATAATGTCCTACGGGATTCTCATGTGGGGTAAAGCGGCAGATATTCAAACCATATTTGTATTGCAAAAACGAGCGATTCGTTCTGTGTACCGTCTAGGCTCTCGGGTTTCTCTCAGAGAAAAGTTTAAGGAGACTGGTATCATGGCTGTGGCATGACAGTACATTTACTCAAATATTTTATATGCCCGTAAAAATATACATAATTTCAATAAGAAAGAAGATATCTGTAATATTAACCTTAGAGCTTATTCCAAACTCATGGTACCACGATTTCGTTTAACCAAGGTAAACAACTCTTTTATGGGGAACTGTATACGTTTTTACAATAACATTCCGGAGCATATATTAAGTTTATCATTTCCTAAGTTTAAAAACTACATTAAAAATATTTTGATCGAAAAATCATATTACAAAATTGAAGACTACGTGTTAGATAAAGATGTATGGAAAGACGACATGGCTCCAGAATCCACACAAATTTGATTCAAAATGTATTCCATAGCATTTAAGTTTATTTGAAAAGAGCAATCCCTAGAGTTTCTTGCTCGTTCTTCTCAGGGAGGTCAGCGTAGTGAACGAGCAGTACCTTAAATGTGACGTTTTCAAGTGTAAATTTATTTTACCTATGGAATAAATCATCTTTGACTTTGACTTTGACTTGACATCGAAATCGGTTCACAAATGTCGGAGTAATCGCGTAACAATCACACATAAAAAAAAACAGAAAAAAAACAGTCGTATTGAAAACCTCCATTTTTGAAGGCGGTTATAATGGAAGAACGTACCAATCTTAAAAGCCTCCTCCCTTATCTCATGCAGCACTTTCACCCTCGTGATGTTTTGCAACAGAGTCTTCACGTTTTCGTCAATGAATGACTTCACCCACACGCTCCATTTTTGAACGCAATTTGTTATCTCCTCTTTGGGTAAAGCTTCAACGTCTTTGTTTGATGTCAATCTGAAAATTCATTTTAAATTACCACCTTATGTTAAATGTCCACCTGTCTGTCGACTTAAAGATCTATTTCTCAATCTGTTAAGCAAGAATAAACACTGTTACTTTGCACTAGACATTATCAAATATAGTCAAACCAACCTGTAGTGCGATTCTCATAATCAAACCGTTACGATATCGTAGCGACTTAGTCGTTGAACTGCTCGAGTCCAATTTTAAAGTCGTTCGATCCAAATGTCGTTAAAGCGTGTTCTGGTGTATGAATCCAACTTAAATCGATTCTAAGCGACAAGTATTCTGTTAACATTTTGACAGTTCTTTCAATATACTTTCGACGACTAAACGTCAAATTTCACAATCCAAGATGTCGTTCTTTAGTCGTTACGTTTCGATTCTATTCATATCAACGTTCATTCAAGTGATACTTGAATACCAATTTTGGATAGGACTTCGATCGAACGACTACGATACTTTAACGATATTTTTATAGGTTGAACTACGTAAATCGCACTACTGCTCTTACAGAAACAATTAATTATAATTATACATTGACTTACAATTATATGGAAAAAAATGTCCCAAGTCAACCTATTTAAACGTAGTGGACATTTAAAGGAATATGAAAAAGCTAAAACGTTGAATTTAAATTGTAATGTCATCGCAGTACTGTCTAATTTTGCTTGCTTCGCTGTCAGTCGAACAAACGAAGACTAAAGCGTGAATGACGCTCTGTATACGATTTTAACGCCCTATAAGTTCAGACACTTTTTAGCGCGGACCCGACGTCCGTATAATTGTAAGTCAATGTAATTATATTAATTTGTTTGGACTGACATGTTGACACGTAAGGGTTGGTGTGATCGAGCCTTAAGTAGGCTAGCGAAACGAACACAAGCAGCTAGATTTTGATTGCCTCTCCCGATCAGAAACTGCGTCTTTTCCGAGTAGAGGCGCATAATTACGATTTACAACTGGCCGACTGGAAATTTATGATATTTCTAATCGGACCAATAGTTGATTTAACTCACAAATTAGAAAGATATAGTAGGAATCAGGTTCATCTTCTCGCTTAGAAACCCATCTGATTTCGAGACTACCCGATCGAATCGATTCCCATTTGAATCAAAATCAGGACGCGTGACGGAATTCAACACACAGACGTCCTACCATCGGATGTATATCCGTTGACGTCAAAATATAGTCTGAAATTCAGAGTTAAATGTCAAATATATTTTTTTTTTTCGAAAACTTCTGCGTTTAGACCGGACCGAAAGAAAGCATATACCCAGCAGCGGGCAATACATGGCTGAAAATGAATGATGTTGAATTCAATGGCTAGGAATTACTTACCTATAGTTGGAAATGACGGGTGGCAACAATGTCAACGCGGCGGGGTCACTAAAGTGTACCAACTGCACAAGTGGTTGTGAGTCCTTCCTGAACAAATCTCTAAGCTTCGATAGGACTGCGCCACCTTCATTATCTGAAACGGTTATACTGTATCAAGCCATAAACGTCCGACTCCTGAGCATAGGTTTTCTCCAAAGAGATAGTATACGACAGTTCATTGCGTAAGTGTTGCCCGCTTGCGAGCAGCTAGTGATTGCAGTCGATAAATATTCTATCGACTATCGACTGAATGATGAAATAGCTGAACTTGTTTCATTTGAATTATCCTGGACCCGTTATTCATCCAATTACTGAGCACAAGTTGATTTGAATTGTCCATTTTTGTAAGTTCATACATACATACACCGCATTTAGAAATTTGTATATGAAAAATTCAAAGAGGAGACATATTTTAAAGTTTTTCATTTTAATTAAATATAGATATAGGAATGAAACTATTTTTCCGGATTTAAATCGCGTATATTTGTTTTTTCAAACAAACCGACGTTTCGGGCCCTTTACAGGTCCCATGGTCACGGTTGACGGTTGACAATCGCGAAAACCTAAGAACTCGATAAATATAGATAATCAACTCCGGCTATTCTTGTTAAAATGTATATAAATAAAAATTGATCTCAATATAAAGAAGGCAATAACGTAATTAGTAATCATTAGAACGTGGTAAAATACGTTATTATTTGAGTAACAAACATAGATTGATAAAATTAATTATTCTCAGTATTCTCGTGCTATGTTGAAATAACCTTTGTTATACTAAAAATAATCTAGAATGATCCCTGTGACAGTTCATAAAAATCTACACAATACGTATTTCATAAACTATTTTTACGAGACTCGCTTTTAAATTAATAGCCTTTGTTTAAGTAAATACATTAAATTATAGTAAAACGGAACGGAAAAACATTTTTTTCTAATATTCCATATTTTTGACGACAACGTTCAAAAGTTACTTCATTACACTGCATTTGCTAGAGATGAGGTATGTCGATGAAAAGTTTTTGATAATTTAATGAAAAAGTGTATAGTGCGTGTATTCATTCTTATAGTATGAATTTTAAAGACAGGCAATGAATTGATATGTCAGAGTTATTACTTTTTTGAAACCTATAAATGAATGATACAATAAATGTTTTTGGAAATTTACTAAAACATCTATTGATATTGTATTTAAATTATACTTGGTGTTTTATGCCTTCAATATAATACAAAACAGTTTACACATTTATACATTGTTCATAATACGTAAGAAAAATAAAAGTAAGATGTTTTAGTGTGTATGTATGCCGAAACTTTGCTTCAAAAATCAAATACACTAAAATATATCGACTTTACCTCATCCCTATGACAAACGTCAAAACAAATCAAAATTGAAATCTTTAAAATATGCCTCCTCTCTGTATTTTTAACAGACATAGTTCTATATGTATGTATGAACCTACAACAATTGACCTCTGGTCGAGAAACGGTAGGTCGCTTGACCTACCGCCTCTCGACCAGAGGGTCGTTATTAGGCTACCAAGGCGGATCATAGTGGTTCATATTATGACGGCGTTACTTATACAGCAAAAATAAATCATTTAAATTTGAACTTACCAACAAAACAAGCATACACCAGAACCACAGTTTTCAAAACAATTTTAACGCCGTTCACAATTTTCTCCTTGATCTTGGCTTTGATGTCTCCTTCTAGTATGTTAGAAAGATCGAACTGAAGAGTCGAGTTGAGGCTGCTGTTGCTTTGAAGAGCTATTAGAGAGTTTAAAAGCTCGACCATCGTTTGGGAGTCTAGTAAGTACAAACTTACTAAACAGGAACAGGCAACCTGAAGTTCACAACAAAATTTGATATTGTATAGTACAAATTATACTAACCATTGTACTAAAAAAATATCGAATAAATCGATGGTTGTTTTACCGAAAAATAATCGAATATAGTAATATAGTTAGTTCTATCGAGTTCTTAGGTTTTCGCGATTGTTACACATAGGAAATGAAACTGTTTTTCCGGATTTAAATCGCGTATATTCGACACACGTACACAGAGGTCCCAGGTTCGATTCCCGGGCCGGGAGAAATGTTTGTATGGCTTACATTTATTTCTCTCGTGAGTTTGGGTGTAATTTGTGGTTGTCTACGTGTGTGTCCATGGCACCCGCGACACAGGGTTTCCCTAGTGCGGGGCTATGTTGAGTGTGTGCGTTATTATTATTATTATTATTATAATAAAAAATTAGTAACGAGTAGATTACTAACTATATTGATTCATAATCGTTATTTGATCAACAATCAAAAAGTGAAGTGTAGTAACTAACTAGTAACTAATAGATACACAACCAAATTATTTCGATTATGTTTATAACTGAATAATTCGATTATTTTTAGTAAGTATCGCCCATCGCTATTGTATAGTACCACTTCAATGATTACAGCTTGTTAATTATACATACGACAGGGGTGTCGCTTCCCACCAGGTGCATGACTTATTTGTCCCGTATTGACTGGGTATTATAAAAAAAAGAGTAAGTGGTTTATAACAAACCTCGACAGTAATATCAATGTCTTGTAACTTCCGCCTGCAGACATCAATGATGGTTTGATTGAAGTTGGAGACAGAATTCCATTGCTGCTGCACTAATCTTTGCAGTGACTGCATACTCGGCTTTATATTTTTGCCCCCAATTTGTAGTTGTAGACCTAGTTACAAAAGAACAAAGATCTGAATATGAGTCTGCGTGCGGAAACTCCAAGCTTAAGGGTTAAATAATTTTAATAATTGAGGCAGCATTTAATCTGAAGTAAGCAAATGTCACTTTTTAACATGTCTGACTGATTGGTGGAGGATTTATTCAAAAATATAACTGCGACACTTTTACTGGCCACATTTACCATTTTTGGATTGCCTCAAAGTTAAAATTGGGAAGCAGTACGTCATGTTTGCAGATCCTTTTTAACCAAGTGGCATGAAGATTGTACTGCTTTTACATACAAAACATACCAGTATTGACGTGTCGAGCCATGATAAAAAGCTGTGTTGCAGTCACGAACTCCTCAGCTTCTATACACATCCAGATTTTCTCCGGTATTTCCATTAATAATTTTACTTGCACAGCTAATCCATGAACCGGGTTTGTGTTTAACTGAAAACTAAGGGTCATGAATCAAATAGAGAATCACGTTTTTTCATGTATCTAAATGAAAGATATAGCACCAATGAGATGAAGAATGGCAAGATAATGCAGAAACTTTTTTATTGTTTAATGCCAAGTGCTGGGAACAACAGGTTGTTCACTTGGTGGTAAGCAACAGGCCTATCTATAACAGATGCAATGCCACTCCAAGCTTCAAATCGCAAAGATCTTAGGTGCACTGCCACTGCGCCCATCACCCTGAGACACATGTTGACAAGTTCCATATGCCTGTAGTTTTATCAGCACCATTACCCTTCCTAACTGGAACGCATTATAACTCACATTACTGCTTGGCAGCAGAAACAGGTGTCAGAAATACGTGGGAGCAGCCTTTTTTGATCCACAACAAAATGTATCTCTTAAACTAAGATTATGTCAGGAGTCATGTATAATGAGAGCAGAGTTAACTGCAATAGTAGAAGCTCTATCCTTTGCTAACTCTGTAGATACTAGTAAAGTCGTTATTGTTACAGATTCTAAAAGTGCAGTACATCATTTAGTCCGATCTGTTTTGGGAGGCCAAGGTATGCCCACAGCTTATGAAACTTTGAGATTACTAGTTAATTTACTGTCGAAGAATATATGTATAATGCTGCAATGGATTCCATCACACATCGAGCCAATGAAATAGTAGATAATTAGCAAGAGAAGCTATCACAGAATCCATGGAACCGTCATGTAAATCTCTTGCTGCAGAAATCATCCCATTTGGAAGAGAGCTAAATGTGGATATGTGGAGTAAGATCTGTATATAAGAGGTCTATGGCGACATTTCTGCAGTGAAAGGGATTTGGTACAACACTGTTCAAGAGCGTCCACTGCGAAAGCCCTGGTTTGTGGACGGCGCACTTTCTAGAAATGCATTGGTTTTGGCTTTTAGACTACGTACCGGCCATCTTCCCTTAAATTAAGTTCTACCAGCTGATAAAAAGAGCGAAATCTCCACTGTGTAAATTCTGTAACAAACTTGAAGATATGCTACATTTAATGGAATGTGGCCATTATGCGGCTCTGAGAAGCCAATTTCAATTAGGGGATATTTGGCAGGTTGGGGAGTTAAATGTCGTGGGTGACCCGTGGACGAAGGGGGCTAAAACTCTATACTCATATGTGAGGTCTTGCCTCTCACTACAAGGCGACACAATATAGCAGAATAATATAATCCACAGGGATTGACATCACAAGGCCGACATTGACATTCAAGTGTTTGCAGGCCTTATTAAAAAATACTGTGTGTTAAAGTGGCAGTACTACCCTGGACAAATTCTTTCACAAGGAGCTCTACTGTTTACTGACTTTATATGATAAGGGTTCATTTTACGCACAGATAGTGCTGGTCAGTAGCAACCACTTGCAATTTGATTGTTTTTGTCAACTAATGCAGTTTGAGGGTTAAATCTATTTAGAAAAACATTTTGATTATAAGTATGTGTTATAAGTACCTTTGCGGTGGTGGTTTATCCTCAATCTTAAATCCAACCAAATGTGTATTGTGGAGGTTCCTACAAGCAACCATCATGTCCGTGATGTGGTTAAGCGTACTACCTGTTGTAATCTTCATTTCCTCTATTGTATCGGCTGCTTGGATGAGGTCCCGGTACCGTTCACTAACAAAGCAATAAATAATGATGATATTGAGTGTTACTTTCGAAAGCATATCAACACTGGAAAGGCAAAACGTCTAACATGCATTTGGAAAATATTACAACAGGATTTAAAGTATTTTTTAAATCAATTCAATAAAAAAATTATAAGTCAAATCTGATACTTTCTAGTTTTCCATATTATGACAAAAAAATGACATATGATTTTTTTTAATTACTTTAAATCGCTTTCCAATAACATTATCAAAATGCATAAACGTTTATGTTTATGTTAATTTTTTTTATAATATCAAGTGATGGGACAAATAGGTTGTGCACCTGATTGTAAACTACAAGCCTCTACGTAACAGTTGCAGTGCAACTCAGAGCTTTAAATCTCAAAGATCTAAGGGGCACTGTCACTGTGCTCGTCACCCTGAGACATAAGTTGATAAGTCCCATGTGCCTGTAATTTCACCATATATCATAATACTATATTTCACTAGATATTAATGTGGCTCTTGATTATATGCAGTACCACCCTTAGTTGTGCAAATGTCAAAGTATGAGAGTAAAGAAAGAAAAATCATAAAATCAGAAGTGACAGTACAAGGAACGGAACCAATATAATCACCATGCTTACAAAAATAGATCTAGTACAATAGAGTTGCACTTGGTATTGTTACATCGGACAGAAAAATAGAGCAAAATATTCACAAATTGGTAACCACAGAATGGAAAATGCAATAGACGGTATCAGCATTGCAGATGGAAAGATGAGCTGAACCACTGCAGGTTGACTTAAGAGACATACTATAGATAGGGAAGTAAAATTCTAACTCAGCTAAAAAATAATGAATACATAACAAAAAATAAGAATAATCGATAAACACAGGCAGAGTTAGTGCCCTGTGGCCACAAGATGACCATCCCAAGGCATAGCAATTATGGTGAATCTTGAAAGGGTTTGAGAAGACACTTATATTGAGTAATGCACTGTAAAAATTTCAAGTAAGGGTAAAACATGAAAGTATTTTTTTTTATAACATCAAGTGACGGGACGAACAAGTGCACCTGATGGTAAGCTACACGCCTGTAAATAACAGTTACTATGCCACTCAGAGCTTAAAATTGCAAAGATCTAAGAGGCACTGCCACTGCGCCCGTCACCCTGAGACATAAATTGACAAGTCCCATGCCTTCAAAACCGGAACAGTAATGCTGATATTACTGCTTGGCAGCAGAAATAGGTAAGGTAGGTAATACTACCCTGTAACTATGTTTTAGTTTGCTTTTAGCAGCGAGAGTTGTCACTAAAATCTGTGGCAGAAAAACCTACATACCCAACCATAGCACGTAAATCTTCCCGTTTTCTTTCGATTTCATATTGTAGTTTCTTTTGAACTTGGTCAATATCGGCGATAGAATGATTCTGAAATAACTGGTCGGGAACTATGTCTAATAAATTAGGTTGTGACATTATTATCCAATTATTATTTTGTATAATCCTTCATGAATTCGTTTAATACACTTAAGAGTAATAAACATTTATTATTACAAAATAGTAAAGCCTAATTTCACAAATTCAATTCTGAAAACACGTCAACATCAACAAACTTGTATGTAGCACTATTACTTGACACCATATTTGAAGATTAAAAACTACACTTTGATTGAAGAGACCTACACATATTAGCTAACATGAAACAATAAAATTTTATCATAATAGTGCTGGTGCCAAAAAGCACCTGTCAATTTGTATAATGCTGCTACAGGAACTTTACGTCGATTTGACAATAACGTTCCCCAGTACGCACAAATTAGTGGCAATATTACATTGAGCGCGCTACCATTCCTCACGTTTTGGCCGGTTCCCAGTGCAGCGGACTGAGTCTATAGATTCGGATGGATGCTAGCAACAAGTGAGCAAGACCGAAGTAAATGTATGTACTTACAGTTTATTAATTTATTACAAAACAGCTATCAATCCAAACTAGGCTGCATTAACTAAAGGCCTTTGCCTTTCCGCAAAGAAAAAGGAAAAAAAAAATAGTAATCTTTCGTTAACATTTTTCAAAAACGATTTCTAGTTATTTGGTTTTCAAAAACAATCGTTACATTCATGTGTTCCAGGTAATAATTAAACGGAGATTTTCAAATTTTCTCCGATCACGACATACGAGGGGACCCTTCGTTGCCAGTCTTTCGCACATACTAGACGTTAAGTCTTTTAAAATCATCCAATCTAACAAAACACAGTCATTTCGGTTTTACTTTTGAATAACAAAATAAATACCACATTTTCATAAAATGGTTAACTATAATAGATTGTGGTATTACGTACAACATAAATATGATTTAGTAAATTATATATATTGCGAAATTAACACCACTTGAGACGTTTTGAGAAGATTATTTTTCGCCGAATCAGTTATTGCAAACCCGTAACGATAAACCCTTGTAGTTAAAATAAAATACCCTGCTTTCCGGCCTCACTAAACCTCATTAAATGTAGTAGCTAGTATTAAGACTTCACAATATATTTTTTTTACGGTTACATTTCGGGGAGTGAGCGCAGGAACTTCCATTTAGTTCCACCTTCACCGTACCTCCTTCGGTCGCCTAAAAGGTCCGGAACACTCCATACTTATGTCCTTGATATACTACCTATTCGCACTAAACGCTTTGCTCCCTCCTTTCTGATGTGTACGGTAAAGCAATGGAATACCCTACTAATCTGTGTTTCCCGAACAATACAATTTAGGGATATTCAAAGCTTGAGTGAATAGGCCTTTTTTAGGCAAACGCATATCGTCGTGGGTTACGTCGTCGCTTAACATCAGGTAAGATTGTGGCCAAGCGTGTGTCTATTATCTAAATTTAAAAAAATTCAAACTAGTTGAGTCTGTCTGAAAATTGTTGATTTATAGTTTCAGATTTCTGGCCACGGTTTAGGGAATACGCTAGTAATGCTAATAAGATGCCTTAACCTGTCCTGACGAACGAAAAAAATTACTACGATAGTAAATAAAACAATGAAATCGAAATAATAAATATATTTAATTGTAATTATAGGTTTGCAGAAAAAATTAACAATTGGTCACATACGTTAAAGTCATTGTGTAGTAAAAATTAATAATTACTAAAAAAAATTGCATTAATTCAAAGTAATTGGGAGATACTACGCGTAACTTTTATCACATTTTGCAGATCTTAAAAAAAAATCATAGAAAATAAATCGTTATTTTACACATAAGTACACAATAGTACGAAAATACAGCTAGTGCTTTAGTAAGTCTGAATTCACCACTTTTCTTACAATAGTAAGAAAATATGGACTCGTAAAATCTATCTACGAATAAATCTACGGCGTAGATAAATAAAAACTATAGCATAGTTGACATAATTTTGATTATTTGTTATCAATATTAGTTCACGTTATAGTTATTAGAAAAATTCCTTCGATCCGGCTGGATTCGAACCAGCGCCTTCAGCAAACCGTGACAGACGTCATGCCACCTAAACCACGGAACGAACTATCGGACCGTATGAATTTTTCTACGTGCTTGTTGCACATGAAGTCGTTGGTTTGAATCCAGCCGGATCGAGAATTTTTTCTCAGTGTTCCATCTTAATGATAATCTTTTTTCCCAAATTTGGTCAAAAGGGAACGTGACACTCCAGGTTCCTCTACTACAGTAGTGGTATGTCTAAATAGTTCAAGTAGTATGGTAAACTCAAAAAATGTTTTCGAACAAGACACTACGCCAATTTTAAAATACTTAACATTATAAGTTTAGTTCGTACATCTTACCAACTGGGGATCCTTCCTCGCACAGGGCCGTAACTAGAGGAGAGGGGCCTTAACTTTATTAATGTACTTACGTAATATTAAAAAACAATTCACCTGCAACACATTTTTTTATTCTCACCCAGGAGAATAAGCCATAATATTTTGAAGTATTTGTACTGCCGAAGTACGAAAATCGATTTCACCAGACCAAGTTTGCTATTATTTTACTTCCGATTTAAATGGTTCCTCTACTAATTCAAAATAAGCTCTAGTCACGGCCCTGTCCTTTAATTAACGAAGCTCATTCTTAATAGGTTCTTTATTAGGTTTATTTACACCTAATTAAACCTTCTATTAGTATAGATTCAATAGGGAAAGGCTAAGACCCTGTCTACCACAATCAGTTCAAAAACTCGCACCATTTTCAGACTCACCAAAGCGGTTGTACAATATGACGTCACCCGTTACTAAAGATACTATAATTGTTCACGTAAAGTAATAAGGAACTATGCTTGTACTTAATTTGTAGTACATAAGACTTATATAACGTAATTCTGGTAAAAGCATATTTAACACCGATACTACACTGTAATATATATATGTATATATATATATATATATATAGAATGAGGTGCAGACAAGTTGGATGTTTATATTTTACTGAGATTGCTTTTTTTCTATTCGATAAAGCTTCGATGTTTGGACCCCATTTTTATATATATTTAAGAACAACAATTGACCAAGTACAGTACCGGCATACTATGATGGCCGTTTTGACAGATTACAAAAGAGGTCAAATCTCAATTAATTATCGAAAAAAATATAATCAAATGCGAGTCACATCTATAAGAGTTTAGATTTATAACTAGTATTGCAAGGGGTGGCTGATTAAAAAGTTTTAATAAAACGAAAATAAAGATGTTTGACGCGAGTTTGCCGGAGGTAGATGTTATGCTGCCCAGCGACCCAATAAGTGACGATCGTATTAGATTTCATTTTTTTTAAATTCTAATTTCTAAAAACAAATTATTTTGTTTTTGTTTGCCGAGTTGTGTGGTAAAATTATGCATTCCATAAATTTTACTGCACGTCACTACAATTAGCTACTTCAACGTAGTTATGAATTAATACGAAACTTGATGAGCGGACAAACGTCAAAACGGCCATCATAGCGTGCCGGTACTATAGTTATACCTAAACAATGTTCTGAAACTATCAGTCAGACAACTAAATTATAAACACTTATCCAAAACTAACATAAATACACATTAGAAAAATGGACAGTTTAAACTTAAAATAAAAAAAACGATTTCTCTTAATTTCATTATAAAAATATACAATAATTAATTCATAATAATACTAAGAAAATATCAATAAACGTGTAACATCATTGATCTAAATTTTTATTACATAAAATTACACTGTAAAATACTTTGTCAAGGGTTTTTTTTATTAGGTAGGACAAAGTAATTAATTTTCTATTGGCTGTCATCTCAATAAAATATACATCAGGTCAAGGAATAAGAACAAACGACGACGATTAAGATGTTACTAGAGTCATTCGATTTGTTTCAAACATTTTAAATGACTAAAATGAATACAGGTTTAATTCTATGACATTTTTGTTTAATGTATGCAACTGCTAACGCCGTCTAAGGGCATGGTGAAGTAATCGCATCAGACAAGATTGTTTTACAAAAATGTATGTTATTCTACTAAATACATAAAATAATGTAGAAATCGCAAGTATACTTGCAATGGCATTTCTGCCTCTAATCTCTCTTATACACCAAAAATACACCCACATCATAACGTCCAAACCATGTTTAGATCCAAGCACAAAGCTTTTTAAGCATATCCGCTCCTTTGTTAATTTCATTACTACACTACAGTCGACTTTCAAAGTACTGTATTGTTCTGACCGTACAAACGTCAAAAAATAAGACGATAAGATTTCTTGGACAGAGCCTTTAAATTCCTTTCTACATGGGAATTTGGCTAAAACTTAAGAAACGTCAATTCTACAACACGGTATATGAAGTGTAATGAGTGTAACTGACTGTCAACACCATCTAACGAGGATAAAGAGCAACTTGATTATATATTACTGTTAAACCACTACCAAAATTACGTTTAAAACTTTAGGTACAGAATCATCAACTTATCTATGAGAGCAATGTGTTGCTAGAGTCAATGCAGTGTTGCTAGTTATTTTAAACACATTCAACAAGGCCGCGTTATTTTTTTTTAGGCTATCTCATTAATAAGTTGGTCGCACTGTGTACATGCGAGTACAGATCTATCAGAATCTCATGACACGTTTTAAAAACAAAACATATTTATTATCAGTTATTATAAAAATTTGAGGCCTTGTAGGGCTAGCACGATAAGACGCGACTTGCGCAAGAGCCACAAAAAGTGCGAGATCTCTATGAGAGAATAGCAGTATCTCGCGCTTTATGTCGCTCTCTCGCTGTCGTGCTCGCCCTACTGAATCGAGATGAAGACGGTTACTCTAGCGACAAGAGCTTAGCTCTCAAATAGGAAGCCCTATGTATTGAAGTTTAACAATCGAAACGAGTAAGACCTATCATTGTACACTCAACATCAAAATGACCAGAGCGTTTAAAATAACCAAAAATCAGAGCTGATATTATCTTACTCGACCAAAATGTAGAAATTAAAAATATTTAGTATACTAAAAATTCCCTTGCAAAGGTGTCAACTGACTATTAAAGACCTTATATTTGTCTAGCAGAATTATTCCAATATATAAATATTAGACCAAAGCTAAAAGTATTGTGTGTGTGATTTGTTTACAGCTGAATGTGTTAATAAACCTTAATGAAGAGTTATTCAACCTTATCCCTTCCTCTCCTTTCCATCAGCGGACCACCCGTGCCGGACTGCGTTGCCACAGTTGGACGGTCAGTTCAATACCGTCCCGCACTAAAAAGTTTGGCAATTCGTTCTTATGCCGAACCATCAAATTGTGGAACCAACTCCCGGCGCATGTATTCCCTCCCCTCTATAACATCGGGTCCTTCAAACGTAGTGTGAAGAAGCATTTGGCCAGACCGGCAAAATGATAGTGACGGAGTGAAGATATTTGTGTTTTCCATCCGTTACTCTCATCTCTGGACTGTATTCGCACTATCCATCAGGCGCGGTGCAGTCATTTTGCCGAGTCACAATAATAAAAAAAAAAAAGTAAGTAAATATGTCATCGGCGGAAAGGCGAAAGGATTAGACTTTTGGAGGTTAGTAATTTTGGCCTTCCAACAATGATATGTAGAATGGTTAAACTACACAGTTTAGAGCACCGTACATAACGGTGTTCATTCATTTTTGTAAGCTTTTATACGATCTAGTATTACTTATTGTAAGTGAAAATTCTAATTCTGTTTTGAGAAATAAATGTCTTAAACCTATTTGTAGTAGTATGTAGCTTACTACAATTACGTCAATGCCTAAACCTCAACAAAGGGTGAATTTGATTCATCATGTGATTCTGATGGACCCATACAGACTGACAGCCAGTAGAAAACAGTCATAAATAATACACTGGCTCTGTCACTCATACATGTTAGGAATTGAGATTGCCATTGTCTATTTAGAAGATGACTTCGTAGATGGTCGCCTTCTTATCCCCCGAGCCAGTCGCGATGAATTTGTCGTCAGCGGAGATGTCGCAGCTCAGCACCGAAGAAGATTCCTTTGACTGGAAATGGGGAAGAAATAGAGAGAATGAATTAAACAGCTCCAGCGCAGGGAGATCAAAGACCATCCCTCCAAGATGAAAATAAATTATCGTGATTTTTTTTAAACTGATAATAGTAGCTCATGACTGTCAGAATTCCAGGAGCTCTTGACCTTACGCTAGAATTCGCCGTTAATAACTAAATGTTATAAAAGAATTTTAATTGTTTTTTTCGAAGTAATCACCACCGAAGTAAGGAATTAGTAGAGGCAACAAAAAAAATTATCAAGTGTTCTTAATATCCATATTTGTTGATGTGAATAGTTTCTGTTAACTGAACAGATAGGAAATAAATTTCAAGATATACTTAATTGTAAATACTGTTCCTCATTAGTAATACCGATTCCCTTGAGAAGAATAAATAAGAAACTCTTTGTAAATAGGTGTATAAATCTGTCTAGAAGAGGTCGCCCATCATAAGACCAAATTCATTGGTTTTTTTTAAATTAAAAGTAAGGGACGGGACGAACAAGTCGTGCACCTGGTGGTAAGCGACAGGCCTGTCCATGATAGTTGCAGTGCCACTCAGAGTTTTAAATCGCTAATATTTGAGGGACACTGCCACTGCGCCCGTCATCCTGAGACATAAGTTGACAAGTCCAATGTACCTGTAACTTCACCAGCACCCTTACCCTTCAAAACCGGAACACAGTAATGCTGACATTACTGCTTGGCGGCAGAAACAGGTAAGGTGGCAGTATTTCCCTGGCCGAACTCTTTCACAAGGGGCTCTACTGCTACTAGAATCGATGGTAGAAGAATAATGTACGTGATTTTTTTTACCAATAATCACTTGTTTAATTCACAATGAAATAATGACATTAATATAATTGGTGAATATTATTTTTTAATTATTAAAAAATACGAGAAGAATACTTATTAATGCAAAGATCTGAGTAGGTTTATCGATGCACCGAAACTAATGAATGTTATCACTTAGAACGACTTATCCTCTCCTTTACAATAGAGTAACAAAACTATTAACACTTCTTTTATTCAAAGCTTACATGGACTTAATGATCTTGGTCCATCAAAAGTGTCAAGATGAGTGCAGGTGCACTAAATAAATGCTATTTCTGAATTCTAGTTTTGAACTTCACATATCTGGTGTTTTTATTTTAAATGTGGTTACTTCGTAACCTACCGACACGTTTCTTATTAATTAAACTAAGTTAGCTCCACATAAAGATTATCAAATTTAGAATTATGTACCGGTGCGTGAATGCGTTTTTAATTAGTTGCTTGTACTATACAGCGGCATGTTCTTTACCGACACGGCTGGCATTACACTCGAAAGATAAAGCGATTAGGAAGGAAGTGCGGCGACCGACCTGGAAGATGCTGGCCCCGTAGGGCGTGCGCCAGGCGTTGAGCAGGTTGTCCTTGCCCGTGGACACGAACCACTTGCCGCTGTTGGCGAAGCGCAATGACAGCACGCACGACTCGTGCAGCAGCAGCTGGTAGCGGTCGGGCTTGCCCGTGTGCAGCACCTCCACGTGCGAGTTCTCCATGCCCACTGCCAGCCAGGTGCCTGCAAGGTGCGTCACGTGCCATAATTCGCTTTCCCCAGAATAAATACCTCAATACCTCCAACGTAAGTCAAAATAACATATTTTACATTTTTTATTGAATTGATATTCAACTGCCTCCGTGGCCGAACGGTTACCACGCCGGACTGCCACGCAGAGGCCCCAGGTTTGATTCCCGGGCCGGGAGAAATATTTGTATGACCTACATTTATTTCTCTCGTGAGTTTGGGTATAATTTGTGGTTGTCTATGTGTGTGTCCATGGCACCCGCGACACAGGGTTTCCCTAGTGCGGGGCTATGTTGAGTGTGTGCGTTATTATTATTATTATTATTATTATTAATTATTTTTTGTGAAATTACTTCACTAGTTTGTTATAATTATTAACACAAAGATCGAACATTCAAAAAAAATTCCTTCGATCTGGCCGGATTCGAACCGACGTCTTCTAGCTTACAGTGACAGACGCTATACCAACTAAGCCACGAACGAACCAGCGGAACTCACGAATTTTTCTATGTGCTTGCGTCGTGTCTTTGTATTTGGTTTTTCAACGCCTTTTTAGTCGTAGCGCCATCTATGAAAGATTTATCACCCAGTTAGTACCATTACAGCTACCAGTTCTGGCGAAAAATGTCGCTATTCACTGTATTTTAATTTTTTATTGAATTGATATTTAATTATTTTTTGTGAAATTACTCCACTACTTTGTTATAATTATTAATACAAAGATCGAACACTCAGTAAAAATTCCTTCGATCCGGCCGGATTCGAACCGACGTCTTCTAGCTTACCGTGTCAGACGCTTTGCGCGTTTACGCAGTGCACCCGATTCATATTCATTCCGAATCCGAAACTACACAAATCTAGAAAACTCGGACCCACTTGGATGTCGCTTGTGCACTAAGCCCGATTCAAATCCGAGAAAATGCGAATATCGCTTGTACACCTAGAGATAAAATAATCCCTGTGACATATACAGATCGTCATTTCTCGGATTCGGAACTAATACGATGTTATGTTTACTTTTAAACATAGAACCTACAATTTACATAAAAAAGGACATTATATTGAATTTAAAAAGCAAAAAATTGTTTTTTGACTTTCAACAACTTACGTGTTCTACTAAATAATAGAAAAGAGCTTAAATACTGTGAGACAAGTGCCTAAAGAACGCCCTGCTCATTGTACAAATTCTTTATGTGTTGACATGTTACTGGACACTGTAGTCTTGAAAAATTTTTTCAGACGTGACATTTGTATAGTCTGTTCCAATCAATTTTGAACAAAAAGTAAACAAACCTGTTTGGTTAAAATTCTAAAACAATCACTCAATAAATCGAATAAATATTACACGTATATTTCGAAGATTTCCACTTTATCAAGTGTCATCACTTTTGCCAACAATATTCATTTGAATAGGATCGTAAAATCGTATTTGAAAAATGGTAGTTCAAAAGTGAGGTTAGTAATTCATCTATACTTCTATGACTTGCCTATGGTTGCATAGTGCTGTTCGGAAAAAAACATTCGGTTCAATCAATTAAAGTTTAGTAATCGATTACTAAATCGAAAATTTTAATCGCAATCGAACGAGTATCTAAGTGTAAGGATTTGAAGGAAGATTTAAATTGAAATTTTAAATATTATTATATAGGTTATGTAAGGAAAACCGCTAGTGTGACTCAATTGAACAAATCGATTCATTCAATTAATAAATCGATTTGTAGATGGCGTTACAATTGGCCATCACTAAACCGTCTATGGTCGGGTCAGTGACTTGTTTGTTGCTTTTTGTTCAAAATGGATTAAAACGAAGTATAGTGAAACTTAGCAAGTGATGCGTTTTAATATTCGTAACGCGGAATGTCAATTCCCGTAAATATATCCTTATATCTTGGAGAAAACTTACTATAAATATTTATACTTGTAAGTATATCGGAAAAATGTGTATAGATATTAGGCTTATTTTTAAAATGCTAACAACCTCGCAGGACTATATTACTAACATCATAAAGAACGACTTTTTGTTCCATGACTTTTTACAAAACATAATAACTTTATCAAAAATATTTTTTTTAAGTTTTTGTTGTGCTATCTGACACTTTCATTTGGTAGAATTAATTCAAACGTGCCAGCGTCCTCCGCGACTTCCGTTCCCGTCCTGCACAGAGTTATTACAGTATAGAGCGATCTATTTAAATCTATTTATTATTGTATTTAAGTGAAATCTGATGAAGTATTAAAAGTTATAGAACAATATTAATATATCAATGAAGAAACATAATCTTGCGAGGTCGTTTGTATATACTATTGAATGTTTACTAACACGATTTAAACTGGAATTTAAATCTAATATAATATTATATTTGCTGCTTTTTGAAAACGCGGCCACAAATTAAGAAAATTTAATATAACTTTATAAATGAAAATAACCTTAAAACGGTACATTTGTTTTTCTTTGTTATTTCGCGTATTTATTAAAACATAATTTTTTTATGCAGTCAAATTGCAGACTATTTGATTACGCGCTGAAGTTATGGTACAATAACAAACAAGCTCCAGATAAATCGAAGCAGCTGGTCGAGACAGCGGCTACACAAGGCCACACTCGTCTCGATCAAACAACAAGTACACAAAATACATCACAATGAAAATCATGTATGGTATGCGTGCACTGACCAGTAGGGCAGTAGCCGAGAGAGAAGATCTGGCTGGAGAAGTCATGCTGGTGCAGCTGGCGACCCTCGCGCAGGTCCCACGAGCGCACGGTGTTGTCCAGGCCGCCCGTCCACAGCTTCGAGCCGTCGGAGCTGATGTCGATGCACGACGCGCCGTCCGTGTGGCCTTGAAAATCACAAACAAGGTCACTTATTATGTTACATGTACTTCGTGGTACTCGTTATGCTCATTAATTAAACAACCGACCAATTGCTGGACAAAACCTCGTCGAATGTTTTAAGCGCCATCTATTGGTACAATAATGAACTACGTAGTCAGCCCGGCTACGTTATCACGTGACTGTAATACGGGTTACTGATGGCTTTTAGTTAGGGCGCTATTAGAGGTGTGACGATTAGTACAATACCTATTTACAAGTGTATATTCGGTGGTCTTTACCTTGGAACTGCCTGACCAAGGTCTGGTTCTGCAGGTCCCACACGGCGATGTTGCCGTCGGAGCAGCAGCTGAAGCAGACCTGGAGAGAAAGAAGCTTGAGACATTGCGGGCGCGGAGGGGGCAGACCCGAGTCCGCGACGGCAACCGACCTTGGAGTCCGGGCTGATGGCGAGCGCGTAGCAGGCCGGCGCCGACGACGTGAGCTCGGCGCGCATGCGCGGCGTGGGCGAGGCCAGGTCCCAGATGGACAGCGTCGACGCCTCGCCGCCCACGATCAGCGTGCGCCCGTCGGGCAGCAGCTTCACGGAGCGGATGTAGTTGTCGCGTTGCTGCAATTGGTGCTGCGCTTACATGGATGTAGTCTGCGCCCGGGCAGACATCGGCGATGCCAATTTCCGAGTTGCGTGTGCACGTTTGTGAATGTTTACTAGCGAGATCTCGAGGCCTGACTTACGGACGCGAAAAATGATCACTAAATAAAGTATACAGAAGCAAGCTAGGGCGGGTCTGACCCTGCGCCTGAGGAAAATTCAAGAAGTCAGAGTGACAGTATTAGGACTCGAACCAAGGTAATCGATGTGCTTTGAAAGATACTGGAATGGAAAACGTAATAGAAGGCGTCAGCATCAAAGATGGGAGAATGAGCTGCAGGGTGGGTTGATGATGGTGATCATTGCTGTTATCCAGTCACCAACTTTAAAGCATATATGCGCTATCGAAAGTTAGGTACGTATTGTTAAAATTTACATAACGACAGTTTAAGTGTAAATTTTGTCCTATTTCTTTTAAGGGAATGAATGCAGTCAGCGGGTCACTCTGCAATAGTACATTAGATATTTTCATACTGCATAATAAAGATGATATATCACTAAAGCAATTAAAGCGTTGCTTTAATAAGCAATGGTTATCGTAAAATCGATATTTGCATGCGCTGATTAAATAGCCCATGCCAGAATGCACATGTTGGCAATCATTATTATTCCAAACAGGCAATAACCTTCAATTGAAGCCCGTTGTTGGGCGCCAAAAAGGTTTCGATATCTTTATTTTTAATTAAAACCCCTTACTGGGCGTCAAAAAGTTTTCGATGCCTTTCCGTATTTTCTATGCTTAAATGACATTCGTACCAAAACATACAAGTTTTGTTCCGTTTTTTTTCATTTGTAATGTTATTTGTAGTAAACAAAAAGTTTTTTTTTTCCATAATTTCGTATAGTACACGTTCTACAATTGGTAAAATAATGAAGTACTATAACTTACCAAGCAATCCAACTGCGACAATGGCTCCAGGGTGTTGGGCGACCCCGGGTTAGTGATATCCCAGAGCTTGACGCATCCCTTTCCCCCGGTGTATGCATATCGGGCACCGTTGTTGAGAGACAACGCGACTGCGCAGACGACCTCCCCGTGAGGCAGCGCTGCCACTTGTCGAGCCCCGCGTGGGACGCCGGGCCCGACAAGGGCGTCGGAGGGGAAGGGAACGGGTTGGAGGGGCGAACCTCCGGTGGTCTGGTACGCATAGGCACTGCAAATATCAACAGTATTTCTATTTACGCAAGCTCTATAACATTGTAGCCAATTTTGCGCCGAAGAAATAAGATAAATATAAAAATAAACAACATTTCCGGTTACGCTGTATAAGGTAGCGGAAGATAGACCTTGCGTGTAGGGCGTAGGATCTAAAGTTAAAAAGACTGTTGGCGGTGCAATGAATTTAATGAACTTCCATATTGAATCTCATCTAGCTTTCTAGATTTATCTCAAGTAACAAAATGGCGATACTGGTATATATTATGCAAGTGTATGAATATGTATAGGGTGTTATAAAAGTGCATTATTTTATTATTTACGTCAAATGAGAAATTTGATCGTGCTTAATTCTTGACTCGTACAAAAGCATTGACCCAATTTAAAATACATGTTCACCCCTCTTTACTGAGAAAATATGACCCAAGTACATAGACAGTTAGTTATTCTAATAATTGTAAATGTATGTAATCTGACGTTCTGAAAAAAAAAATAGACTCTTCTGTGTAAAAAGCTTGAAAAGATGGGTTTGTTTCAAAAAATAAAATAAATAAAAAAATAGTTTCAATTTCATATAGCAATGGCAAATACCTAAATATTGTAATAATGTCTGAAAATATATCAAAAACCTACTAATTGACATAAAAAAGGAACACAAAAGAACCGAACCCAATATACTATCCAGAAACGATTATTACGATTATTGAGATACATCTCTCCCTTTTTCGCTTACAGGGAATTGCAATATGAAATAGTGCACTTCAAATAGATGTACAGAATATATATCAACAGGTCGATCGATACATTCGAGTAAAGAGAAAAATCTACGAAGAACAAAGACGATGAGAAAAGTGAGAAAACCCTTAACCAATTAAAAAAATATTTACCCATTCCTCCTCTTACTTAAGTCCAAAACAAAACCGAAATTATATTCGATTATAGTATCACCGATCATCCCGACTCCGTAATCCAACACTGGATTTTCGAACATTGGATGTTCCATCATCGGAATCTCCATCATTGAAATTCAAAAACTTTTAAGTAGAGAACTCGGGAAGACGAAAACCCGCAATAAATCACGTCCAAATTGACACAGTGAACGGGGTGTAAAATTTTCCACGGATATGATTTTAAGACTACTTTGGCGCCTGCGTAAAAAGGCCTTGGCCACGCACGCGTGTCAAGGACTAGGACTCAAAGAGCGCATGCGTGAAGACATCTCGGTGTACCGCGACTGCGCGAGTTTTGGTTTTGAACCTTGGGCGGGAATACACAGAGAATGAGTCTGACTTTTGCTAGCGTATATCAATATATATTTTGTGATGGATAAAATTATTTTATTGTAATTATCAAGAATAGAACCTGTTAATGAACGAACTTTAAAAAAATGTTTATAATCTATGAGATGTCACTTTTCACATTTTTAATTTCATATGGTAATTTTTATTGCAGGTCTTAGTAAAATTATTATTTACTTTTTCATAAACAAGTTAAATTGTCCAAAGTAGAGAATGGCACTAAGCATGTTAACTAATAATTTTATTTACAATTTATTTTTGTAGTAGTAGAGATCCTTGTGAAAGGGTTCGTCCAGAGATGTACTCCAACTATTTCTGCCGTTAAGCAGTAATGTGAACATTACTGCGTTCCTTGTGGTTTCGAAGGGTAAAAATGCTAGTACGGAAAAATACAAGCACAACTGGACTTGGCCACTTGTGTCTCAGGGTGACGGGCGCAATGGCAGTGCCCCTCACATATTTTCGATTTAAAGTTCTGAGTGGTACTACAAACGTTATGGACAAGCGTGTCGCTTACCAATAGGTGCAAACAAGTCGTCTGACAGACATCAAGTTACGCCAGGCGCACTTTATAAAATGCAATATAGTATAGAATACGTTCTCTATTTGAGACGACCCTAAGAATATGTCTGATAACAACAAACTTCCTTCGATCCGCTGGATTCGAACCGACGTCTTCTAGCAAACCGTGACAGACGCTATGCCAATTAAGCCACGGAACGAAACAGCGGACCTCACGAATTTTTCTATGTGCTTGTTGGATCTTTGTATTTGGTTTTCAACTACTTTTTAGCCGTAGTGCCATCTATGAGAACCCTATGAAAGTATTTCGTCACCCAGTTTGGTAACTTTACAGCTACCAGTCCTGGCTAGAGATATCGCTATTAACTGTAATTAAATTATTTCCGGCATTTGTGAACCGATTTTGATGATTCTTTTTTTGTTGGAAAGAGGGTACCTCAGTATTGATCCCATTTAAATTTAAAGAAAACATTCCAGTGTGGCAAACTAGGGGAAGACTCCGGCTCTGGGCAGTTTCCGGTAACCAATTTCAATAAAACATGGCAAATAGATGTGATTCCACGAATTTTTGCGGTCGGTCTTTTTAGTACTCAGTAATGAGATTATGTAAGACACAATGCATGGAAAACAAAATACTCACGGTTTAGCTGGCGCAATGCCATTGGTCCTATGATGTGGAGTGTCAAATGGTATGGGGGGTTTGTACCCTGTGTATCCCGGGAAGCCATACCCCCCTCTCGCGGGTGGGGGTCCAGTTGGTGTCGATGCCCTCCCCGCTTTGGCTCCCGGCGTTCCTGGTTTCTCCTAAATTAAAATAATTATATTGAAGGTTAACTGTTGCTATTGAATATCATAAATGCATTGTACGAACTTGCCTTTGCCTCGGTTCAGCTTCCTGATAGCTAAATAACAAAATTTACTCAAGAATAAGTTTGTAATTAGAAAAAAAGTCGATTCTGTAAAACGTTTTACATTAATTCGATAGGGTTAAAAAGTCATCGTCGCAAACTTGTGTTAATATACATAATGTGTTGTGACATTTAGCCATGTACTTGGTCGTTTTATAGTCTTGAGAAACGCGGGAAGGACGCTATATGTTCACTTTTCCATTATCTGTAGAAAAGGGATTTATTTTTGGTGTAAAATTCACAATTGTTTATTTACATTTTTGATCTCGAATTAAATAAGTACTTCTAAAATTAATATATTGTCCAAATAAGGACAATCGCACCAAGCTTGTCATTTATTAGAATCCGATTATCCAACTCCTGTCAATCTCTGCGTGTACCTCGGAGCGTAGGGTTGTCATAATATTATTTTGAGCTGTAAACATAATTTGAAAAAAAATTTAGGTGTTCATCGCAACATTCTCGTGCTATATTGAAATAACTTACCTGCATTTAACAAAATGCAGTATCTCGATTATGGAAGTAATAATTCCATAAATGTTTATGATTGTTCAAACAACCATTAACACGACAATATCAAGTCCACTATTCGATGTTATTTTATCAAACACCGAGCGAACGCTTTAGTTCTATAACGAATGGTGCGTGGGACAACCCGCGCTATGTAACGCGAGTACACCGCGAAATTACGCGAATATATGCGTGTACAAGCCGCGGTGCTACATGGAGTTGCACTACTTGCCATACTGTACCTATGTTGTTATTCTATAATAGATAAACGCATAGCCACAATCGCACCTGATGTTAAGCGACGATGTTACGCCTTCGACTAGTAAATGCTGTTCACTTTAGCCTTAAATTGTAGCTTAGTAGCAGTAGAGCTCCTTGTGAAAGAGCTCGTCCAGGGAAGTACTGCCACCTTACCTATTTCTGCCGCCAAGCAGTAATGGTCACATTACTGTGTTCCGGTTGTGAAGGGTAAGGGTGCTGGTGAAATTACAGGCACATGAGACTTGTCAACTTATGTCTCAGGGTGACGGGCGCAGTGGCAGTGCCCCCAAGATCTTTGTAATTTAAAGCTCTTGGTGGCACTGCAACTGTTATGGGCAGGCGTGTAGCTTACCATCAGGCACACGACTTGTTCGTCCCGTTACTTAATGTCATAAAAAAAAAAAAAAAAAAAAAAGCTTAAAATGCCGAATAATAGGGTTGTCTCATTTAGTAATAGTACTTTATAGTTACTTAATTTTGTAGATCATCTAATTCACGCTTAAACGAAGTTATGTACGATGCGACTTCACGAAAATGGTAATATTAAAACGCATTATAGAATTGACATAAAAATTACACAATCACAAAACACATTAAGTTCATTCACATAGCATGGCTACATGGCATGGGTGACGTTTGAGATTTGAAGTTTCTAGGGATGTAGTGACGTAAAATCGAATGGAAAAAAAATCGATTTAAGGACAATAATTAAAGAACAAATAACAAACAAAATTCGATTATTATGTTATTAAGTTAATAATAAAACTACACAACAAATATTTCGAAAATCAACCATAAACAAACAAAAAGTCAACAGCAACAAAACGAAATTTGAATAATTATTCCAAAACCGTAATGCAAAACTCAAAACAAAAGAAATCGACCGGCATTCATGGTGTATGCACTCGTATTGAAGCGAAATACATAATCGCCGATTTATCGATTCTATGGTGTCAATCTCTATAGAAAAATATTCAGTTTTACGCATCAAGTACTTGGGGTAATTTGTTTTTATCATTTCCGATTCTATCTATTTAATATACTCTAATTTTTAACCGACTTCAAAAAAGGAGAAGGTTAAATGATTATTTTTTATTATTTATGATTTTAGGAAATGAAACTATTTTTCCGGATTTAAATCGCGTATATTTGTTTTTTCAAACAAACCGACGTTTCGGGCCCTTTACAGGTCCCATTGTCACGGTTGACTGCGATTTAAATCCGGAAAAATAGTTTCATTTCCTATGTGTAACAATCGCGAAAACATAAGAACTCGATATATTTATGATTTTGTTTTTGTATGTATGTTACGCGGTAACTCCGGTATTTGTAAACCGATTTTGATGAATCTTTTTCCGATGGAAAGAGGATACCTCAGAAGTGGTCCTAGATAAATTTGAAGAAAATATTGCACCTGCAAGGGTGGCAAATTAGGCGATGAATGACTTTTGAGGTCGGTTTTCTTAATACTCTGCACTGAGATTGTTACTTACAATTAGAACTCCAAGAAATATTGTTTGTTTTTGGTATATTGTAACAAACTTATTATTTTTTTGTAAGTTGGTTGAGAGATTAGTTAAAAATAGTATGCTTGCAACGTAAAAATGTAAATTGTCACAGTACCCACCCTATGTGAAATAGACAATAGAAGACAATTGTATTTTCATAGTATCACATGAGCACAGGGATATAGTGCTCATCGTGTAGAAAACTTACGTCTTTCGAACTTTTGGGCGTAGACCTACTCGATGATGAACCGGATCTGGAAGGTGGCCTAGGGCCATTCTCCGTCCTTTCACCACCTTCCGTTCGGGCATTCGGAGACCCTCTTTCTTCCTACAAGCATAAAAACGCGTGTTAGCAGTGGCGAATGGTCCATATAACACGATTTCTATCGGCTTACCCAATGCTTTGATTCTCAAATTTAGAACATCATCAACCCATCGATAGTCTCCTTTGATTTAAGGGTTCAGGCGTCCACAACGATGGCCCAATTGGGGAAGTTACACGTTTTTCAAGAGCAATGAACCTTCACAAATGTACATAACTTACAAATTAAAGTGATAACTGCCGTGACAAAGTATCGAAACGTGGACCTCGTAAGAGACGGAACTGTTTATAACCGACTTCAAAAAAAAAGGAGGAGGTTCTCAATTCAACCGTCTTTTTTGTGTGTATGTTATGCAATTACGGCATTTGCGAACCGATTTTAATGAATCTTTTTTGTTGGAAAGAGGGTACATACTTCAATATTGGTCCCATTAAAATACTCCACCTCTAAGGGTAGCAAATTAGGGGATTAATCAGGTTTATTGGACTTCAGCCACTTTCCATTAACCGTTTTCAATAAAACTTGGCAAAAAGATATAATTCCACAAACTTTTGAAGTTGTTTTTTTACTTTTGAAGTTAGTTTTTTTTAAATACTAATTATCTTTGTGTGATATCACCACCCTAATATAAATTAAGATACTATGTTATTTATACATAGTTATACCTTAAACTGACATATCGACTGTGAACTGGCAACCGGTACTATCTCAATTTTGTCAACTTTACACGATGAAGAAAAAAATTGCTTGCGTCATTTATATAGCATGTGGTTTATTAAATAAAAATACATAGTACATGTGTAATAAAAATATTTAAAAACTACGTATTTTTATTTAATAAATCAGTGGGGCCAGCATGATAACACGCGACTTGCGCGAGATCTCTATGCGAGAATAGCAGTATATCGCGCTTTACGTCGCTCTCGCGCTAGTCGCGCATAAATGAAGCAAACAATTATTTTCTTCATCCTGTAAAGTTGTCAAAATTTAGATTTAGTATATAAAGCAATAGTTGATTTTGAATGTAGATAGAAACTTTTTAACTGCCTCCGTGGCCGAACGGTTACCATGCCGGACTGCCATGCAGAGGTCCCAGGTTCGATTCCCGGGTCGGGAGAAATATTTGTATGGCCTACATTTATTTCTCTCGTGAGTTTGGGTGTAATTTGTAGTTGTCTACGTGTGTGTCCATGGCACCCGCGACACAGGGTATCCCTAGTGCGGGGCTATGTTGAGTATGTGCGTTATTATTATTATTATTACTTGCAAAGTATTCTTAATGTTTTGCTAGTTTTGTTTGTCAGACACAAGATCTTAAATCTCCCCTTTAATCCGGAACACACCAATGGTGCTTAGCGGTAAATAGCTACGGCTGCGGTACCTACAGAAGTGGAATGTGTCAGAAATATGTCTCCATCGCAATCATTGTAAAAATTCAAAGGAATTAATAATTTACCTCATTAGCGACATCAACAACAAGGTCTTGATCGCTCTTTTCCGCGTCGCTGTCCTAAAATAAAATAATAAATTAGTATAATTATTATACTATAAATTATATCTTAAATAGCAAGGAGTAAGAGATAATCTTTCGTAAATACCAAATAGCAGCTGGAAATTCAAGCCATGCTAAAGCCTGAAGGGAGAAATATGTGACATAGCCTTCAATTCTATCTTATAGATTTTTGAATAGAATGTATAATGTATAGTGTTACAACACGTTTCCCAGAGTCAGACCACATCCTAAAAAAAATAGCTAGCATGTTTTATTACAATTCTTTTTTACACCCGACTAAAATTTGATAATGAATTTTACAGTGAAGAAAAACTTCTACTTTTTTTTTATTGAATGTCATTATATTCGACATTATACTTTTTAGTTATACTATTTCGTTTTATATTAATTATTATTGTTAATATTAGTGATTTTGTGAAATATGAAATTAATGATTATATTCTATTTCAAAGTCAAAGAATCATTTATTCCATAGGTAAAATAAATTTACACTTGAAGACGTCACATTTAAGGTACTGCTCGTTCACTACGCTGACTTCCCTGAGAAGAACGAGCAAGAAACTCTAGGGATTGCTCTTTTCAAATAAACTTAAATGCTATGGAATACACTTTGAATCAAATTTGTGTGGATTCTGGAGCCATGTCGTCTTTCCATACACCTTTATCTAACAAGTAGTCTTCAATTTTGTAATATAACTTTTCAATCAAAACATTTTTAATGAAGTTTTTAAAGTCTTGATCAAAATCTTTAAGTTAGTCTAGTAGATAATAGAGCGTAAAGTTTGAATTGCACACAAGCTAAAAAGTGGCGACATCGTTACCCGATCTTACATAGCGTCATTACATATCTCCCCTTTTTTTCCTATATCTATGGTATTCTCCGGTAATAGCACAGCCGGCCTGGATCAGGGACTCAGGGTCTTATCATTGTTTTTATAGAGTGTTGCGTAACTGTCACACATTTCCCTCCCTCCTATACAAAAGTACATGAAACAAGCCTTAATGAAATAAATAAAACAGCCACATACACTACACAGACTCACATGACTGAGTACCTTCTCGTCCTTCCTGCGCTTCACGTCCAACGCTTCTGGCTCGAGGGGGGATCGAGGGGGGCGGTATTTTTGCTCGCGCTCGTGCGGGGACATTGACCGCCTCTGCTTACAAACAATTACCTCTATGTCACTTTATCTATATTGACACAGCAATTTAGTATTAAATAACATCATCTGTAGAATATAACTAAGGTGACCACACGTTCCGCTCTGAGCCGGACAGTTCCGCTTTTAGGCTTCGTGTCCCGCTGTTCCCAAAATACTTAACTGTACTGCTTCCACAAAATAGACCACAGGAAATCGAAAAATATATAAAGTGAGTCAACCAGACATCGAGCACCACACTATACAAGATTAGTTCTTTTTTTAAATTTGTTATTCATTACACTATTTTGATTCTTTTTATTTCTTTTTTAATCGTTAAACTTACTCACAAACATGAGTTTTATTTTTAAAACAATAATAAATTTACAGGCGTCCCACTCTGGTCTGGAAAATTATGGTCATGTTAAATATAACCAACTTTTTAATATCTCTCGGAAATCTTCGTGTTTTGCTTCAATCAGTTGGCATTTGTACTAGGTGCAGACCGGACGCACATATTCGAGTACGAAGTAATTTTTTTTTAATATAAATTAATATTCTCAAAATAGCTTACAAACACAACAATGACAGTTTATAAGTATATAGACACAAACCATGCTACTGTGGGAGACTGGTAACCGTGCTAGGTAAAGCCTGTGTTATGGATCACCAGACTTCCACCTCACGGACAGTGAAAAATTGTATGTAAATACACTGATAGTTTAGCCTGATATTGTAAATCACAAAAGCTTAAAAGTCGATACAACCTCAAATGGCTTTGGTTGAATCAATCACTTCGGAAAAACATATAGTAAAATTGAGAGTATATACGGATAGGATACGAAACAGTACACACGATAGAAACAAAACACAAACTTACCTCGAAATATTACAAGAAAACTGCTGTATTCAATAGGTACGTTACGCATACCAATTTTTTTTTATATATCAACTAAACTAAATAGTACACGTTCAGTATACGATATACATTTTTCAGTCAGCTTTAATTTCGTTTGTAAAAAAAATAAATTCTGAAATAAATCACGCAACTACTTTTTATTTAGTTTATATTTTTAAAGTATTGGTAACGACTAAATGTTAGAATAAAAACGTAAATAGTTTGACAGGTCTATAATGTACAACAACAACTATTCCGGATGGGTTTACGGTAAGCGTGTCGCTTACAAACAAGCGCACGACTTGTTCGTCCCGTCATTTGATATCATGAAAATAATGAGCTGTTCTTACCATTTGCGGAGCTCTTGAAGCGTGCAGTCTGTCATCATCACGGGGTGGGGGCTGCCCCGACATTAAGGGAGGGGGTGGAGGGCCACCGGGTATCACCGGCTTCACGTCCGCGGGAGGGGGCAGTTCCACCTGGAAAAAACCATCAAGAGAGATTACAATTGAGCTTCAAATGTGCTATTAAATTTTGTACAGAAATTCTACATTTCTTAACAACAGCATCTTGGAAATATAATCTTTTAAACAGAAAATCGCCGTGAGGGAGGAGGTAGCCCATAGGTAGAATAGTGGCTTCTCAATTCAGAGGTCGACGTTTCGAATCCCTGTGTAGGCATGTACCTATGAATTTGATTTCTAAATTAAGTACATTATATGTTGGTGTTTTGTAGAAAGGGCGTAAGTGACATTTTGAACTTTTTTTCCGGGGAGCTTGTTTTAGTTTTTCACGACTGTTTTAAAATATTTACATCGTTGGTAATAATACCACCCGCGACACAGGGTTTCCCTAGGGCTATGTTTAATGTGTACGTTATTTAAAAAAAAACTTCATTTCGCTTAAAATGTCGATTACTTTAGTTATTGTATGGAGAGCAGATTTCCAATAAATTACATTGTCATGAATGTAATGTGACGTTAGTTATTTTTTATTTCTTGAAAAAATATTTCATTTTATGACACCAAGTGAAGGGACGACCTGGTGGCAAGCGCCTGTTCATAACAGTTGCAGTCACTCAGAGTCACCACTCAGAGCTTTAAATCGCAAAGACCTGAGCCACTACGCCCGTCACCCGGAAACGTAAGTTGACAAGTCTCATGTCCCTGTAAAGTCACCAGCACCCTTACCCTTCAAAACCGGAACGCAGTAATGCTCACATTACGGCTTGGCGGCAGAGATAGGTATGGTGGCAGCATGGAAGAACAAAAACTATGGAAGTGCTTTAGGCCTCGATTACTATCAAAACCGATGTCGCCAAAACTCACACTCTTCATTTGAAACACTACAAAATCTTGATATTGATTGGTCGTAGTTTCAAATTTAAAAAGAAATAACAAATTCAGGATTGTTAATATAATTTAAACTTTATCTTATTGGCATATCGTTGAAAGTTCAATATCATCAATACCTATTATTAGAAGTTATGACGTTATTATGCTATATTGAAATTTCAATCAATGTGCGGCCATCTAGCGGTTAAATGCTGAACGCCGACGAATTGGAGTTATTAATTTAGTTCTCCAAAAACGAAGCGACCATATTGCACAGGTGCTTTCGTTTCTTGTAACAAAAAAATATTTCGATGAAATGAAAATTTATTGAAATAGGACTCCGACGATAGGAATACCACCACCGGTAATATTTTTGGTGCGGCCATTGACTTACAAATAAATGGACGACGGGTCTAATACAAAAACCACGAAAAAAATGTCCCAAGTCAACCTATTCGAAATTTAAATTGTTATGTCATCGCAGTATCGCGCTGTCCGTAGAACAAATGAAGACTAAAGCGGAGTGTCGCGCTCTGTATACGATTTTAGCGCCTTACAAGTGCGGACACTTTTTAGCGCGGACCCGACGTCCATATAATTGTAAGTCAATGTTGAGAATACAGTTTATCTTCTATCGGCTATCATTTTCACACTCCAAAACGGCACAATAAGACAATTTTCTAGGATTTTCGAGAATTTGCACGAAAGAATGACACAACCATACCATACAACCGAAAATGACGGACTGAGCTCAGATTAGCTGGCACGCGTTCGACACTAACTAGCCACTTCTACTGTATTTATTATTCTATGGGTGGCAGAATTTCTCGCACGAACTCTTCTAACAAGATCTACTACTCCATCTAATCGTTTTTTTTTAAATCTTATTAATCTTCAGTTTTATTCTTAAGATATATCAGCGTATCAATATTTTAAAACACGCGGTGAAGTCATTCAAAGGCAAACTAGAGCAAAAATTATGAATCTCTTATACCAACCTCGTTGCCATAAAGTAATTTATAAGAATAACTGCTTTAACATGTGTATAATTATTTACAATAAATTACCAAATGAAATTAAATTGTTACAAGGACATACTTTTAAATTAAAATTGACAAAATGGCTTTTGACACATTGCTTATATAGTAATAAGGAATACTTAGAATTTACAAATTCATTACATTAATTAGAAACTATAGAGACTAAATAAACATTGAATCCCATTAATATTTGCACATCTGCTTGCAGGTTGAATACAATGTACCTAATTTTACTTAAGACCTTTGTAATTACTGTATTCTGGCAAATAAACGTATTCTATTCTATTCTATATTCTATTCTATTCGTAATTGACATTTTTTACTAGCAAAAAAAACCTAAATTTACCGAAATGCGTTATTTACAACACGGGGGAACAGAAATTGAAACTATTGAGTTGGTCACAATATCCGCACGGTATCAAAATATAATAAATGAAAAACAATTTACAAAAAAATTTGATTTTAATTGGCCATGTCTTTTATAGAGTTTAATAAATATAACGATTTCAAGTCTGATCTAGATAAAAAAAGAATTGGATTGTGTAACATTTAAAGGAGAATTACTCACCTTATGCGCAGGCGGTGGTAAATGTGGCGGAGGCAGAGGACCTCCGGCGCCGGGCGCGAAAAGAAGTCCCCCCGCACCCAACAACCCCCCCGCGGCACCTACGCCATGCGGCAGGCCTGCTGTAGCATGGATTTGTTGCTGAAAACATTATAGCATCGTGAAATACATCATCATGTGAACACGCTGAAACTGCACGTTGACGTCACTGATGACGTCATAAGCATAGTGCTGTTGCAAATGACAGAAATGTCATAAGACAATTTTTTCAGTGCAACGTATTTTCGGTTCAGAATTTCACGTGACGAGCTCAGATCGACAAACTCGATCTATCGGTGAGATATATTCATTACTCGATTTCAAAATCAGGACTTAATCGTGTATAAGACATATTTTATTTGCTTCAACATTACGGACGTGTTGCTTCGTCTATGATCTCGAAGGGAACATGTATGCAACACTTAAATAAAAATGTTTTTCATGCGATTATGTATCTATTTTTAAAATCAAATAGTGAAATTGAAATCAATGAGATTTATTCGTATTTTTTGGTGGAAGGTCACACAGAGGCGGCCGCGGAAGACTTCCAGGCGCAGGAATTTTTGTAATGTACGAGTTTGATTTCAAGCACTAGAAATCATACTCAAGTCCTGACTTTATTGAGTAGAGTTCTGGAATACGACTCTGAAACACGCGGCGGCCGCGCCTCTGTGTAGCCAGAGAATTAAGGTGACGACTGACCAGCGGCCTGAGTGTAAATATTTAACTACCGCATTTGCGTTAAGATTTTTATTTAAATCTTAAGAATATGTCTATAAGGTTTAAATTAAAATCTTAACGCAAACACGATAGTTAAGTTTACATATTTGAAAACTTACACTAAGGCCCCTGTTCAATTCAGCGTATCTTAACACGTTGCGATGTGAATATTCGTAGTGGGTATACAGCGAACCGAGACGCTCGCCGCTAGCTCCGTCTGTTTTTTTTATTATTTATTTTTGTTATTTATCATCCCAACAGAACAAACAAGTCATGCGCCTGGTGTTAAGCGACACGCCTGTCCATAGCAGTTGCAGTGCCACTCAGAACTTTAAGGGTCGTATTCTAGAACTCTACTCAATGCTCAAGTCAGGATTGCAATTGAAACACCAGCACTGGAAATACGACCCTAATGGCAGGGACTTGAGTATGATTTCGAGTGCTTTAAACCATACTCAAATCCTGACTTGAGCATTGAGTAGAGTTCTAGAATACGACCCTAAATCGCAAAGAGCTGAAGGCCACTGCCGTTGCGCCTGTCACCCTGAGACATAAGTGGACAAGTCCCAAGTCCCAAGTTTTTAGTTAAATTTTAAGTTATGTATGAACTGCCTCCGTGCCCGAACGGTTACCATGACTGCTACGCAGAGGTCTCAGGATCGATTCCCGGGCCGGGAGAAATATTTGTACGGCCTACATTTAGTTCTCTCGTAAGTTTGGGTGTAATTTGTGTTTGTCTAAATGTGTGTCCATGGCACAGGGCTTCCCTGGTGCGAGGCTATGATGAGTGTGTGCATTATTTATATATAATAATTTTAGTGTTAACATTAATACTGTCGTGCCATCCCATCTTATAAAGCGGTACCAACTGAAAACAACGATAAAGCAAGCGAGCTTTGACATATGATATGAGTTGGATCGGTTTCAGCTTATATCTAATGATATACGTTGAAAATCTTTGTTTTGTTTTGTTCTGTATAAGTCTTAAAAAGCTGAATAAATGTCTCTTTCTTTCCATGTGTTGTAAGTTCACCAGCACTCTTATCCTTCAAAACCGACACAGCGACTGTAGCAACTGCTTGGCGATAGAAATAGGTAAGGTAGCAGTACTTCTTTGGACGAACTCTTTCACAAGGACCCTTACAGCTACTACGTTGAATCCCTTTGATTTCGAAACAAAAGCAATGGTACCCGTCAGTCAGCAAATGCCGCATGCCTTAACGTATGAAACTCGCCCCGAATGCTACATTTCGTTAAGATCTTGATTAATCGCCACCTTAAAGCGACAGTGAAAATGAGTCGTATATATCATAGATGAAGCTTTTTTTAGCACCGACCTGTTCAGGTTTCGTTAGAGATCTGAGAATTTTTGTTGGCGCTTCAACAATCCAATAACTCTCTAGTCTGACCCAGTCACGAGAGACGCTCCCAATTAAAGTACCTAAGTAGTCTACGATATAGAAAATGTAGACAAACGACGATAAGATCCTACACCTTACCTAGTACGGCCACTCCATTTCTACCGCCAAGCAGTAATGTGAGCAATACTGCGTTCCAGTTTTGAAGGGTGACTTTATCTCTCGGGGTATCGGACGCAGTCGCAGAGCCTCTCAGATTTTAAGCTTCCAGTGGCACTGCAACCACGCGACTTCCCTTCACGTGTTACAATAAAAAAAGTTACAAGAAAAATATTAACTCTAACTGCAACCCACCGTAGTCTTTAAAACTGTACATAATTATACTTCCTTATTTTATTATTCATCGTTTGAGCCACAGTATGAACCGTCACTTCGAAGCAGTAATTACAGATATCGCCTATAATTTGCGAAGTATCGATTCGCCGTGCCTATTTTATACACAGATGGTTGGTAAATTATAAAGAATTATTGATCGGCACAAAACGTAAGATTGTAACAGCACGCTCATTTGCGTAAATTTATCATGCTTGAGAAATAATACAAGGCTTATTGTGAATTATAATCGAAATTTTACAAATACAGCGTTTGGGTAGTGGATGCTAGTTCCGTAATAACTCTATACAATCTTACTTAGCTTTCAAAAGCAAACACACTCGACTAATCTTGGTATGTTTAAATTATTTATATATGGATATAACCAGTATTTATGTGGTCTGTGGATATAATAGAATTTGACACAAGTTTAAGATGCGACGTTTTAATACACAGCTACGAGAGCGAGGCGATGAATATAACTCTAGTTAGAACTGAGCAAAGCTTAAGGTTCTTTTTTTAATAACATCAAGTGACGGGACGAACAAGTCGCACATCTGATGCATCGAGTATATAACCAAAAATAGAGACGAAATGTTATTTAATTTGAAAAAACTATTCTTCCATGTCATTACTGTGACAACTGCGCTTGGATTGCCCAGCCCGAATTCGAAACTATTGACGGGTGTCGTCAACTGTTTCACTTCAAATCGACTAGTTAACTTGAGCGTTGCTATAATGGACAAAAATTGCAAAATTACATATTTAATTACCGATGAGATTTGATTCCGTTTGTTTTGTAATTAGATGTTTTTGCTGTTTTTCCCCACACTACCGAATGCAACAGCACGCCATTGTTAGAGATATTATCTTTATTACAATGAATACAGAATACATATGGAATATACGGAGACGTACACACAGGTCAGTTGTTGGCAATGTACTATTTCAGCTTTCTGGTTTGTAACTTCAGTGCAAACGAGAGTTGATATTTATAAGTGATATATCACTGATGAGTTACCAGGAATATATGACCCTTATTTCGTCTCTATTTCTAGTTATATACTCGACGGCCTGATAGTAAGCTACACGACTGTCCATAACAGTTACAGTGTCACTCAAAACTTTAAATCGCAAAGATCTGAGAGGCACTACCACTGCGCCCGTCACCCTGAGCCATAAGTTGACAAGTCCCATGTTGTAATTACACCAGCACCTTTACCCTTCAAAACCGGAACACAGTGATGCTGACATTACTGCTTGGCGGCAGAAACAGGTAAGGTGGCAGTACTTCCCTGGACGACCTCTTTCACAAGGAACTCTATTGCTACAAAGGTTCTCAATGAGGTTGAGGTTCTCAATTCGACTATATTATTTTTGTATGTACAGGGTGAAGAGCACGTCAAGCTTTACACTTAAGACTTAAATCCAACTCTATGCCGCTTACGATAAAAATGGTCCAAAGATCAAAGTGTCAAGCTTGATGTGCTCTTGACTGTACATAAGTTTCGCGATAACTCCGGAAATTTGTGAACCGATATTGATGATTCTTTTTCTGTTGGAAAGAGGGTACCTCAGTAATGGTCTGATTTAATGGTCCCATGTGCCTGTAATTTCACCAGCACCCTTACCCTTCAAAACCGGATCACAGTAATGCTGACATTACTGCTTGCCGGCAGAATAGGTAAGGAGGCAGTACTACCCTGGAAAACTCTTTCACAAAGCCTACTGCCGCTAATTCGAGTTCTATGGACGAGAACACAACCTCACCCAAGATGAACCGCACCACGAAGCCCAACTCCATCAATGCTCAATCCTAACAACAGTATACATATAACAACCTACCCAAGTAACTAACTACCCCTACTACCTATTTTCTGGCACGGTAGGAATCTGACAACCGGTTGCGGCTGGTTGGTATTCCCCTCCACAATCCTGGGCATGTCACTCCCTTAAACTGTGCCCCCTGGTATATTCGGCTTTTCCGGGTCAGGTTTTCTCTGGCTGGGTTTGGTGCCAATGAGCAATGAGTAGCAGTAGAGCTCCTAGTGAAAGAATTCATTCAGGAAAGTACTGTCGCCAAGCAGTAATGTTTTATAGGGTGAGGGTGCTGGGGAAATTACAGGCACGTGAGTCTTATCAATTTATGTCTCGGGGTGACGGACGCAGTGGCAGTAATCCTCATATTTGTGATTGAAAGCTCTGAGTGGCACTGCAACTGTCATGAATAGGCGTGTCGCTTACCATCAGGCGCAGGACTTGTTCATCACGGCACTTAATATTATAAAAGTTAATATTATAAATTATAAATTCACTGCTACATACCAACTGGCCACCTTCGATTCAATTGACAAGCGTGCCAAGAGGCTTATAGGTGACTCGGAATTAGTAGAGGCGAAGCTGCAGAACCTTGAACACCTCCATAAATGAAATTTTTATTGAATTGATATTCAATTATTTTTTGTGAAATTACTCCACTAGTTTGTTATAATTATTAATACAAAGATCGAACACTCATAAAAAACACTCAGAAAAAAATCCTTCGATCCCGTCGGATTCGAACCGACGTCTTCTTGCATACCGTGGCAGACGCTATACCAACTAAGCCACGGAACGAACCAACGGACCTCACGAATTTTTCTATGTGCTTGCGTAGTGGAATAATTTCACAAAAAATAATTGAATATCAATTCAATAAAAATTTCATTAATACAGTGAATAGCGACATCTCTCGCCAGGACTGGTAGCTGTAAAGGTACTAACTGGGTGATAAATCTGTAATAGATTTCTCATAGATGGCGCTACGACTAAAAAGTCGTTGAAAGACCAAGTACAAAGACACGACGCAAGCACAAAGAAAAATTCGTGAGGTCCGTTGGTTCGTTCCGTGGCTTAGTTGGTATAGCGTCTGACACGGTATGCAAGAAGACGTCGGTTCGAATCCGACCGGGTCGAAGGAATTTTTTCTGAGTGTTTTTTCTGAGTGTTCGATCTTTGTATTAATAATTATAACACCTCCAAAAAGTTCAAATTCAAATTCCATTTATTTCTGGTAATAAGTGGCCTGCTTATCGGTATTTTACAGGATATATCACGAGAGTATGCGATGGAATTACACGATTTAATTCCGCCTTCCCCTTTCTATCATCGGGGGACCAGGCGTAGGTTTGGATTCCACCCCTATATTGTGGATATTCCAAAGATTCGCACGAAACGTTACGATTCCACACTTATATGGCGAACGGCCATGGAGTGGAATTCCCTGCTTGCATACTTGTTCCCTGAAAGTTATAACTTGGACCTTTTTAAGGTGAGAGTGAATAGGCATTATTTAGGTGTGCATGCTCCACTGCCGACCTTATCGTCACTTTCCATTAGGTGAGATGGAAGGTGAAATGCGCATATACACTTTTATAAAAAAAACTTATTAATACGTGTCAATGTAAGAGACGATTTTGTAATTTCAACAAAATGTTTGACAACGTGAAAAATAATAAAACTGCGATTACATGAGTTTTAAATATTACATGAGTTGTTGCAGTTTCTTGGCGTATTTTTGTACTTATTTGTGTGAAACATGGAAGCTTATCAATAAACCGTATGTGATAGAATCAAACATAAAATAATACATTAACAGTAAAGGAAACAAGGGTGGTGAACATACAAATAAACACGAGTTATTTTTATCGACTAAATTATGTTTTATGATGTCATAAAGTTATTTTATTGTTTGTCAGAGTTACACCATTGCAATCAAGAAGGCTCGCATGAGAGGTAATGTGAGGTTAAACAATAAAACACTATTATTCAATTAGTTTTTCAATTTCTGCTAAAGTATGTTGGTTATAGCTTATTTTATACTTTACGAAACTCCATAGAATGATTTTGCACGTATTAATATAATGAGAATGACGGAAAAACGACTTAGTAAGTTGGTAATTAAATTGTTATCGAAAATTCAAACCTTTTTGGTCATGGTTTTCCTTATTGTGATTAAAGAATAAAGCGTCATAAAAAAAATACAATTTTTATTTGGTGATGAATGCGATTTTCTTAAGTCACCCCGCTGTCTTTAAATAAATGATAATAACAAAGGCAAGTAGTAGTTTAAGCAAAATCGTTCTATATAATCGTGGTTATTAAATCTAAAATTAAAACAGTGCAAAACTCTATCACTAATTGTGCGAAATATTAATCACAATAGTCTAATGAAAAATTTTTATCATACTACTGAATAGGATATTCGAAATGAAAAAAAAGAAACCAATGTGTAGCGAAATGAATGCATTTGATGTAATAGGCTGTTTATTCCAAATAAGGGTGAGACCAGACGAGCGTAAGTCGTGTCTTTTGCGTCGCATAGTTTACGATCGACTGAAATTCGGTTAGGGCGCCAGACGTACGTATTCAGTTGCTTTTATGCGTTTGTACGGGGGCGTTTGTGTCATATAGTGTAATGGAGCAAGAAACGTTTCTACTTTCGCGCAACCAATACCAAAGTGACCACTTCCCTCAACCCATCCTCCATCCGCACCAGCACGTTTCACCGAAATTCAGTTGTAATTATGCAGCGTAAATTACGCAACTCACAACTCATAAAACTACGGTCGTCTGGCCTCACCCTAAAGGTTGATTTTGTACCGAAACGCGGCAGAAAAATAGACCAGCGCGCAGTACCATTAGCAGCACTGCAGCGGTTCACTCGCGACATTTTCCGCGCGGCATTAGCAGCGCATACAAAGTCAACCTTAAAGCGTGAAACACAGAGTGCGGGGGTATTTATATAGATAAATACACGGAATTAGACCCGTCGCGGTCTCGACCCGACACGCACCCGAATCTGTGTTTCACGCTTAAGAATTATTTTAGCTTGACTGCCATTAGAACAGCCATCAATATCCCTTAGAACGTAAATGGACATAACTTAACATGTCGACGAAAATTAATTATTACATCTTAAAATTTTGCATTAAACTATATAAATTATTTTTTTACGGCTGAATGTAATTTTTTTTAGGGTACCAAGTGGCGGAACAGACAAGTCGTACTTGTCTAAATCGCAAAGATCTAAGAGACACTGCGGTGACAGGTCACCCTGATGGCGGTACTTCACATAGCTACTTTTACTGTGTGATCGTCTACACATGGAGCCAAATAATGGAGTTAAAATAATAAATATTACCATAGTGTGGATAGTTTATTTGTGTATTTGCCTCTTTGGCATGTGCGGCGAGAAAGCGACGAGTAACGCAAGTTTGGTGTTTGCTGTATTTGTCGAATAAGCAAACAAGGAATAGTTATTTGTTATGTAAGGCTGCAAAGTTCTGTCTGACGTGAGTCCTGGGCGTAGCGAGGGTTTCAAGGCACGATAGCAAAACAACTTTGCTGCCGAGCTAAACACACAACTTTTCACCTCACTATAGCGAGGCAAATAGTAGATGAAAGAAAAACAGTTGAACTATAACAAAATAGTTTAGTAAACAATATTAGTTATCGTTGTCAATTAATATTACAAAAATGTAGAACAAATCGCGTAGTTGAACGTATCATTGTTTTTTTTCATCGAAAGAAAAAATTTGGTGCACCGCAGTCCATCATCAAGTACGAATTTTAAAACATTTTCCACAACACGTTTTTTTGCCAAATATATCAAATACGCAAATATAAATGGCTATGTTAAATGCCACCACGAAACATAAGTTGACAAGTCCCACGTGTATTTATCTACAATTTCACCAGCACCGTTACCCTTCAAAACCGGAACGCAGTAATGCTCACATTACTGTTTGGCTGCAGATATACGTAAACTGGCCGTATACTACAACTAAATTATGTCCATTCGTGTTAAAGGGGGCAATGTGTATCAATCCACAAGGTATATCTTGCACTTCCAATTATTTGATTGGACGTTTTTATGCAAAAAGGATCCAATGCACATCCAGTAACTTTCGAGATATGGCAGTTTGAAGTTTATTTATGTTTATTAATTATATTGGATTCTTTTGCTGATCTAAGAGATTAGACTTTAGGAAACGTTTGGTACATACATCGAGTGTATAACCAGAAATAGAGACGAAATAAGGGCCGTACATTCTTGGTAATTCATCAGTGATACATGACTCATAAATATCAACTCTCGTTTGCACTGAAATTACAAATTAGAAAGCTGAAATAGTACAGCGCCAACCATTGACCTGTGTGTACGGCTTCTTATATTCCATATATATTCTGTATTAATTGTAACAAACGGAATCAAATCTCATCGGTAATTAAATATTAAATATGTAATTTTCGTCCATTATAGCAAATCTCAAGTTAACTGGTGGATTTGAAGTGAAACAATTGACGACACCCGTCAATAGTTTCGATATCGGGCTGGCCAATCGGAGTACAGTTGTCACAATAATGATATGGCAGAATAGTTTTCAAACGAATTAAATGACATTTCGTCTCAATTTCTGGTTATATACTCGATCGGTACATATAACTCATTTTTTGATAATTTTGTGGATTGGATCATTTTTGCTTAACAACGTCCAATAGTGCATTAAGTTAATATAAAAGAGCATTGACTGTACAGTGATTCCGTAACTGCATCCCCATTAGAAATTAATCTTTGCGTCGTTCTTACAAAGTTCTTAACTGTGTTTTAATCGTGATAGTTTGTATACCTTTATTTGAGGATTAACACATAGTTTTCAGAACCGGGGAGAGGGAAGCTCTTAATCAATTTCATTCATGCATATTCCTGTGCTCCAACACGTAGAGGTGCTAATTGGTAAAAGAGTTCCCCTCCCTCCCGCGCCCCGCAGCTTCTAGCAATCGAACTACAAGATAATGATTTTCTACAAAAAAAAAACAAAATAACCACAACTCAAGACGTGAACAGTGTTAATCACAACACAGAACTAAATCTTGGTGATCTATTAATTTGGACTTACAAGGAGTTGTTGGAGACCTTGTTGTTGTTGCTGCTGTGGAAAATCATTTGATGAACATACAAAATTCAATGTTCAGCATGCAAGTAGCGCTAAATAGCGCGGATAGCCGGCATCATCGTTGTACATACGGGAAAAAATCAATTTGGTCAGGTTTTTAAAACATCTGTGAGAAAAAAATTATTAACTCACTGGCATTATTTCATTTTTAGAAGAAATTTTTGTATAATGAGAATTTGGGTTGGAATACCGACCTAGCTACTAAGTTAATACGCTGCACAAAGACCTAAACGTGGACAACATAAAATTGTAACTGGACCCCGGGGCTCAGATACGTTAGAGCAATGGTACAACGCAGCATGGACGTGTTCAAGTCCCATCGGGTCGACGAATAAATTTTTCAGTCTGTTCGATCTTTGTGTTTCTCATAATTGTAACATAATGTTAGTGAGTAGAAATATTAGTTGTTATAATATGAGAGGGATCTATTTACAAAATTTGACATTATCAGAAACTAATAATAAATAAAAAAAATGTGCACAGTGCTGCGCATTATAAGATTCCAAATTTCTGCTTAAAAAGAAACTCAAAGTTAGTGGCTAAAACGCTTATCGCGAGAAGCCAACAACTTAAAAAATAAAGATATAAAAGATCTCGCTAGCCAAGTCTCCTGCACCACCTAGCTACGTTATTTACAATTATTGTTTGTGATAATCCGTAATAAGTAAAAATCAAAGCAATTTGGCTGGTTTCAGAGCAGTGTGGATTTCCCAGCGGACCGTGCGCGCGGAGCACCGGAGTAACGCCGTGTGGCGTTAGAACACCGTTTTACAGTGACGCGGATTGCTCCGTACGGAACACGCTCCGAGTGAACTACAATAAAGTAAATATCAATAGACGTGACGAACAAGTCGTGCGCCTGGTGGCAAACTACACGCATGTCTATAACAGTTGTAGTGCCACTCAGAGCTTTAAAGCGCAAAGATCTTAGGGATACTGCCACTACACCTGTCATTCTGAGACTCAAGTTGACAAGTCCCATGTGCGTGTAATTTCACCAGCACCCTTCAGAACTGGATCGCAGTAATGCTCAAATTACTGCTTGGCGGCAGAAATAGGTAAGTCTTCCGTCGATTCAGAGCACTGCGGATTCTACGCATGCGGACAATCGTATGGACCGTACGCACAGCTGTGAAACCAGCCTTATAAGTTAAATTAACAAAACAAAAGAAACTCCCCATTGAAAATGAATCATTTTGTTTCACGGGTTTGAATCGCCTACATTTGTTTTTTCAAACGTTTCGAGCTCTTTGCAGATCCCTTTGTCAGACATCATGGTCAGGGTCAGCCGTGACCAAGGGATCGGTAAAGGGCCTGAAACCATTGAAACGTGGGATTGTTTGAGAAAACAAATGTACGTGGTTTAGACTCGGAAAACAATAGTTTCAATTTCCAATGTGTAACAATAGTCAGAATTAGCAAACCTAAGAATTCGGTAGAAACTTACCCCAATTATTGCATTTAATTCCGACATAGTGACTTGTTTTGCTCTCTCTACAGCGGACGCTACTTGCTGCTGGTGTTCTTGAGCCAGGAACGGCAGGACTTGCCCAATTATCGCGCTTAATCTTTTTGCTATTTCCGTCTGAAGAGAAAAACAATAATTAAGTACATAATGAAGTCGCTTCGGACAAACGCAAAGTAATAGCAAATAGTGTATTACGGGCTTTACAGTCCTTAAGGAATTACGAACGAGACTCTATTAGAAGGCTTTCGGAGTTGAGATTCGTAATTCCAGTACCGCCTGTGATCGTGAAACATACAATGTTTTTCATCACACTTGCACGTAAACAGTAGTATTGCATGCAGGCTAACTTGACTATAATGCCCCAAATAGCCATGGTCTGTAATGGGAAGAAAACAGGCCCGAGGGTTTGCTTTGGGGCATTATAGTCAAGTAAACCTGCATGCAATCACGCTATTTACGTGCAATTGTGATGAAAACTAACTATTTATTTTTAAAATTGTTACTGCTGCATAATTATGATTCTGCCAACGTGATGGTCGGAAAAAACGTTGTATAATGACATTAACATGAGAATTTAAACCAATCACCGCATCAGTATCTTTTATACACATGATAGACATTTGATTATAATTGACAGTTGTCAAATCTTGATAGCACCTTATAAAGAAGGATGGCGAAAGCGGCCCCAATAACGACGAAGAGCCGTTCATGGACGTTGCTAATGTTTTAGTTTATGCCTAGTTGTTAATACATTTTTGTATATTTTTAGAAGTCGGGATATAAAAAATTGTAAAACATTGTATTTTAGAATAGATGCAAAAACACAACGCAATTGATTCGACCATAGATTAACTAACTGTTCTTGTATGTACGAACGTTTCATTTTAAGCAAGATTGAATGTTTGCCTACCTGAGGTATTGGTTATTTTATAGTACACACATAAAACATTAAAGCTATAAAATACCCAATGAAATAATCAAACAGTAATGACATTAAGCAAAAAATAAAACACAATGTGACATAAATATTTAAACAATATTTAAATGAGAGATAATTAAAGTTGCAAAGGAACGTTTTGACAAGAGACCTCTTGCCAATGTCAATGTTACATTGATATTGAGAACAGTGTGACCATTTGTGGCAGATTTCTGCCATTTTTAACTTAACTGCCTCCGTGGCCGAACGGTTACCATGCCGGACTGCCACGCAGAGGTCCCAGGTTCGATTCCCGGGCCGGGAGAAATGTTTGTATGGCCTACACTTATTTCTCAAATGAGTTTGGGTGTAATTTGTGGTTGTCTATGTGTGTGTCCATGGCACCCGCGACACAGGATTTCCCTAGTGCGGGGCTATGTTGAGTGTGTGCGTTATTTATTTATTTATTATTTATTATTTGGGCAGATTTAATTTTTATTCATTTTCATTGCTGCAGAACATGATAAGTTATATTAAATGTAGCAGATTTGGGAACATTCGGGAAGTTCTTTATTATTTTTGGTAACAAACTGAAAACTTGTTGTTTTCTACTACTACGAACAAGCATCTGCATCGAAATACAGGACAATGTAATAAACATAACCTATAACAACTTTATAACCCCAGCTTTTACAGACTGTGCTCAATTAGCTTTTTTGATAGTTTGTGACTGAATCTCAAGTATTGATAGGTCTCCTTAATACATGTCGTCAAAAACACTGGGTCACAAAATACACGAAATGTCGCCATCCTTCTTTACTCAAGATGTAAATTCTATGCTCCATTTTCGTTGGTTTGGGCACACTTAAACTAAACATTTCTCTTTCACAAACAGTAAGAAAAAGATAGTTTTAATTTTAACGAGCTGTCAAATAAGTTGCCACGCAATCACAAGTAAATTTGCAAGGTGTCAACTTTTTACAACTCTAAACTAAAACGCCATCTTTGAACCTTTTCTACTCCTAAATAGAAAGAGGCACTGAATGTAGAATTAATTTTGTCTACGCTCGCTCGAAGCGACGCCATCAAGCTATGCAAGCTACATTTTAACCAACTTTAAAAAAAGGAGGATCTCAATTCAACGGTTTTTTTATGTATGTTACGCGATAACTCCCACATTTGTGAACCGAATTTGGTGATTCTTTTTTTTGTTGGAATTTGATGAAAATATTCCACCTCTAAGAGTGGCAAACTACGGAATGAATCCGGTTTCGCGCACTTCCGGTAACAGATTTCAATAAAACTTGGCAAATAGATGTAATTCCACGAGTTTTTGAGGTCGGTTTTTTAGTACTATGTACTGATTTAAACTGCTGATATGAACACCATGTTAATGAAGTAAAGTTTACAATAAACAATTTTAACAGTTTGTATGACTGCTGATTTGACCAACCGCACATATATCTTAAATGCATTCTTATCAGTATGCAATGCAGTGAACACATCACACAAAAGGACTCCTACGTTGCGCGTAAAGATGCGGCATGCATAAAAAGAAAAAGGCAAATTTTTAAAAAAATTTTTACATCAAATACAAAGACGCGAAGCCATTTTGTTTTTTAAATTTATCGATGGAGTTTAAAAAAAATGTTTGCAAACCGAATGCAGCATTTTAATTTGGTGTTTTAAAGTTGTTTAAACAGCTGAGGCAAATTGGATGGAAGTAAATCAACATAGAGAGACACGGTAAAAAGATAACCTATGGCGTAGGTTTAACAGTGTTTTGAAAAATAAACATAATTCGCACTGTCTCCGGTGAAACAAAAGATTAACTTAACTGCAAAAGATTGTAAAGGCAAATCGTTTTAAAAATGAAATTTATACTGAAAAAGTAGAGACGAATACGTTTCTTTTTTTTTCATAGGAACGCCATGCTTATTGAAATAGGTTTAACATCCCTTCAATAATTGTGCTCGGTAGCCCTAAACACAGAATTTATAATCGCACCTCTCGTGGAAGAATGTCATAAGTAGGTACGTCAAACATGTCTACAATATTAATCGATAGAGTCACAAGAATTGGAGAAGATGTGGGTTATATTTTTCTATATCTAATGGAGCAATAAAAGTTTTTAACGTAATTCCACTTACGCCATTCTCCCATGAGAGGTGCGGTCATGGTATAATAGGAGAAGTAGTACAAGTCTGTCTCGGGGCGTAGGGTTGTCACATAACGTGAAAAAATTAAGCTGTACATCACAGTATTTTCGTGCTAATGCAATACTTACACGTTGATATTTTTTATAACAGCATATCGGGTTGGTATCTCGCTTATGGGAGTATAATTATGAAATATGAAATGAAAGGCTGAACAATTCTGAATTTCAGGCACGCTTGTTCAAACAACCAAAAACACGTTTACTATTTCGATACCTCACGCGTAACTTATTATAAACCACACAATAGCATTTTTTTACCTTTTAACTTAAACCGCACTGCTATTACAATAGTGTTATAACTCCAAATATGTGAAATTCTAGATTATACTATTGCTGAACTTAAAATTGATTCTCTACACATCAATAAAACCGTCGTTAGAATATTGTGAAAACAATTAAAAGATATCTACTTAACTCAAAATGAGACAAAATTTTTGTGAGCATAACAAAGTTCTGGACATAACAGCCCTTACTCAAAAATATGCAATTATTTCTTCGCTTTCATTTTTAAATATATTTGGCAAGTAGGGAATTTACTGACGTGTGTGGTATCGATTTGATGGCATTTTTAAACACAGAGCGAACACTTCAATTATATAATAATGAATGATGCACTGCGCAACTCGAGTGCACCGCAAGATTGTGCTAATGTGTGCGTCCGTACACGGCACGCTGCGAGCGCGCACACACACAAGCCGCACTGCCACGTTTGTATGGAGTCACAATTATAGTATCTCTCTTAAGCCGGGTACTCACTAGCGAGTTGTAACCGTTTCATAATTATCTTACCAAAAATCATAGTGTGTACGTGGTTTGCGAGCTCGCCGCGAGCGGAACGCGCGCAGTTCGCAAAGAGCCGACTATGACCAAGTACTCATTCTAGCAAATGAAGACTGTTTCACGCGTACACACAAGAACCTCGTTACTATATCTGATACGTTACAGATACAGGTAATGAGCACCCGGCTTTAACTGACTGCCGTATCTGACATTTTTGTCGTAACTGTGTAAGACGTACGATCGTACTCAGCGTTCAAAAGCATTCTCCACTAATCGTATGTCTACCTTATTATAACCCACTCATAAAACGAGTTTGACACGACGACGTGCAGCTCAAAATATGAAGCTAAGGGTTACAACAGCTAGGAGAGAAGCAGTATATTCAATTAATTCTTACCTGTTTGTGCATTTCTACATTTAATCCATATGACATTTCATAGTACTGAAAAATAAAAAGTATGCTTTAGAAATTATAAATCATAGGTCATTTGTTTATGGACACAGATTGGACAGGATGTTAACAGTAAAAATAATTTCACTATGCCCGTTTTTACGGCCTTATCGAATAAATGTGTATATTCAGAACATTAATTTTTACAGCAAAAAAAATAAAAAAGTAAAATCTTCAATAGCTCTGCACTTGATGGATTTATTTCGAAATTATGAAAACGAAAATAATTTAAACGTAAAAATCCGTGGTATAACGTCTCCAAAGAAATTTTATATTTTTTAGAAGCGCTTTATTTTATTCGTGCGTAATTTATATTTATGGTACCTCCAGAAAAAAAAATTGAGTTACATTAAAGAAGATTATTGATCTTTTATTTTGGGGTGAAAAAATGTACGACGTTCACAATAGATCGTACATGAAACCAAATACCGTCGTAACTCAAAAAGCGTGAAATTGAAAAAACACGATTTGAAAGTTCAAAAAAATTACTGAATGGATCTTACTGCGAATAATGGGATTATATTCAGTTCCAATTTTGAAAGGTACGGGTGCTGGTGTAATGGGACTTGAGACGGGCTCAGTAACATTAACTAACGTAACTATGGAACCCTAAAGATCCCGAAACGTTGGTTTGTTCGAAAAAACAAACAATTTAGGTCCGAAGAAATAGTCTGTCGTTGATATTCCATATATTCGCACAAAGCGCTTTGCTTCCTCCTTTCTGATGCGTACGACAAAGGAATGCTCTACTCTATCTGTATTTCCCGAAAAGTACAATTTGGGGCTATTCAAGGCTAGAGTGAATAGGCATCGTCGGTCACAACGTCGCTTAACATCAGGTGAGATTGTGGCCAAGCGTGTGTCTATTATATATATTTTTTAAAAGTCTTATTTACTTGTATTGTTTAAAAAGACTTAATTAACAAAGTACTAACACGCTTTCCAATAAACATATGCTGCATAAACATACGCTGCTATAAACATTCACAAAATATTAAGAATTCCTTCTTCATTGGGCTACAAGTCTTCAATTTTCAAAATTTTTTATCTATCATTATATCGACTGTTTAAAGCTAAAACCACATAAGCGATATTTACCACAAAAAATCTTTAATTTATATAGCTTTGGTAAGAAAATCACTATTTTCTGCACGTGAAACTCAATAACAAAAAAGCTATAAACTTACTACGAGTTTTATCTGCAGAAAGATGGTGAATTTCTTACAACTGGTGCATAATTTGGAGATTTTTTGTGGAAAATGTCAATTATGTGGTTATATCTTTAAGCAGACAATATTTACCTAGTTTTTCATAAGTTATATTGTGTGACGGCCTATATGTTATCTAAAGCAATTGAACTATGGTATTACTCTTGACCTATAAAGTTCATAGTAATTGTGGAGATCATTACTCACCATTACGTAGTGCCTTTGCATTTCTGTTTTCTCCGATGCCAGTTTCTCGCATTCTAATTTTAATCTAAAACAACATACAATGTCAAATAGAGGCTTTTGAACCGATAATGCTATGATCTATATGAACATGACAGACTTATGAAAAAACTCTAATGAAAAATCCCAAACAGACATAAGACTGCAGTACTAATAATATGTTTTAGTTTATTCTAATTTATATTAATAATTAATAATAAATTGAACTTAATAAAAATTCATTCAATAAAATAATTTGTAAAACTTAATGTAGCGTAAATTGGAATGTATTCTTTGTAAAATTAAAAATAAGGTATTAATTAATAACTATTGTAACTGTAGTGAAAAAATAAGGTGATTTGCATCAATATTAGACATAACTGGTTGAAGACTGTACCACCTCAGTCAACCGTGACCATGGGACCTGTAAAGGGCCCGAAACGTCGGTTTGTTTGAAAAAACAAATATACGCGATTTAAATCCGGAAAAATAGTTTCATTTCCTATGTGTAACAATCGCGAAAACCTAAGAACTCGATATGACAGACTTGCTATTTTTTTATTGACAAGCTTGTTATCTAGCTTCTATAGTAATAGCCCTACTGTAGATTCTATCATAAAGTGAATAAGACGCCTTCCGCTATCGAAATTCTTAGGTCTTTGTGAAAAAGTTCGTCTAGGGAAGTCTGCCATTATCCTATTTTATCAAGCAAAAATTTGAGCATTACTGTGTTTCCATTTTGAAGGAAAAGAGCGCTGGTGAAATTACATGGCACTAGTCAACTTTATGTTTCAAAGTGACGGGCGCAGTGGCACTGCAGCTGTTATGAGTAGACGTGTTACTTATCATCTGACGCGTGACTTATTCGTCCTGTCATTGAATAATAATAAAAAAGATATAAATAATCATTTTTAATTCTCTTCGTCTTGTCTCCGAGTTGTAATCAGTGGTAACCACAGATAAATTGCTGTTTGCAGTGATGAAACCTCCTTAGGTCTTAATAATAATAATGTCCTCCACAGAAATAATCTCAATTTTTTATCTGTAACCGGGTTATTTCTATCCAACCTTGCAAACAACTTGAAGTGAGTGGATTTGTGTGGAGTGTTGCTTTCAGCACACAAACTTGCGTCTGGGAAATAGGTATTCTCCCATTTCAAAACTCCAAATTTATTATTTTACATCATGGCAAGAAACAAAAATAACTTTTAATGACAAAGTAAACAGACAGGATAGGTAAGTAAGTAAGAGGCCTTGAACGCATCAAACTTTGTATGGAAATTGTACAACAGTGTAGGTCACAGAAACAACATAACTGTATGTTACTAGTGACAACTTTTACCAATGAGCTACTGTAAATAAACGAGAAACAGATTAATATTTCAACAAGTGTCTGCTTGATGATAATCTGACTTACATATCAATTTTGTTGAACTATATTTACTTGCTTGCTTCACTAACTCTATGAGCTTATTTTCAATCTTATTGTAATTTTTTAATGCATATTCTACAAAAATTTACTGTAGTAATCTAGTACGCTTATGGTGCCATTAATAAACTCCCACATTTAAAAATTAACATAGAGCTAAAGTGAGAAAAGAACTACAAAGAAAAAATAAACAAACAATATACAAAGTAGGGTATTTCCACAAAATTCATTACCAGTTGTTTAGTTAGTCCAAATGAGATATCGATTGTGAACTGGCAACCGGTACTATCTCAATTATGACAGCTTTACACAATGAAGAAAAAAATTGTTTGCGCCATTTATATAGCAGCTGGTTTATTAAATAAAAATACATACTGTATGTGTAATAAAAATATTTAAAAACTAAGTATTTTTATTTAATAAATCAGACGCTATACAAATGATGCAAACAATTTTTTTCTTCATCCTGTAAAGTTATCAAAATTGAGATAGTACCGATTGCCAGTTCATAGTCAATATTTGGTAATTTCCCACCTATGTAGAATATTTATTTACTTGTAACTTTTTGTTATTGTTTTTGTATATAATGAACACATACATGTCGAAATTGAACCAAAAATTCTTTTTTTATATCTTAACTAAGACCATCTAAAATCTGGCACTATGGCTTGGACCCCCTAGCGTGTCACGAAGAACGCAACATTGATTGAACTCAACTAAGACCACAATCACACTACAGAGTATAAATAAAAACAGTGAATTAAAATTATATTTGGTTATTTCCTGTGTAAGTATGAATTGAGAGAATATTGAGGTATCACAGCTACATAAACTTGTTAAATTGTTATACATATAGTTTTATAAAAACACTGTTCACATATTGGCACTAAAACAGATTTTACAGGTGCAGTAAAAATATTGCATTATTTTAACTTATATTAATGCCATTTGCATTTATGACTATGTAAGGAAGTTATGAGATAATACAGTGTAATTTCAAGTTTTCATTTTATTATAAATGTATTGAAAATGATTCTTTACAATAAGCAATACTTAATTCCTCACGAAAAAACATTGTGAGAATAAGTTGGACTTATATTCAATGTTGTCTATTTAAGTTTGATGACGATGGGGAGTTTCATTCGTAATTCTCACATAATGAACTCCATATTTACTGCTTTCATTCTTCTCAGTTATCTCTTTTTTTTATATATTTTAGGCAATGACTATTATTTTTATTAGAGTTCCTTATTCACATCATTGCAAACAGAAATTAATCTATTTGATTCACCAAGCACAATTCAGATCTGAAACCTGCATCATTAACAAAACAAGATCAGATCAGATGATGAAGACCAGCAATGGTTTAGCGCCTAAGCCATTCTTGGTTTCCAGCCTAAACTTTGGGAATGCAAAGATGTCTCAAACACATCATAGTGAAATATATGACCCATATCTTTAGTTCCTTATCTGTAATGTGTAGCATCAATCTAAGTAACATGCAGGTATTATTGGATCTTCTTCAGGGCCTGTACAGTACTTTATCAATGTGAGCAGGAATTGACCTATTGTGATCATTGTTAGTTACAACTTGGAACCAACACCATCAGTATCAAAGAATTTAAAGATTTTCCAATTCTTCCATTCTTCATCTCATTTGATTGAAGCAGTAATGAGAGTTGAGTGCCCATTCCTTGCCGGCTTTGGCTAAGAGGTTGCAGAAGACCCTCATCAGCTTTATGACAAAATTAAGTCTCTGCTGATTCTTAACATTTATTTACACAGGTTTAAACTTGTTTAAAAACAGGTTTAAAAATGTTATACTAGCACCATTAAGAAACAATAAATAAAAAAGCTACAATAACAATCTCAATAAACTTACGTGTGATATTGAGCTTGTAAGAAATTAAACTCCTCCTTTATTCTTTCTAGAGTATCAGCTATAGTGAATTTTATAGGCCCCTGGGAGGGCTGCGGCCCCTGGAATAAAATAAACCACAGACAATAAGGCTGAATAACAACAACACTATTCAAATAGCTAAAAAAGTTATAATTCTAAATTCAAAAATAATAGTGTACTGGTTAAGGAAAAGGAAAACAATGTTCAAGAACGAAAAGAATCCAGTCAAACTTTTCAAGCTTCAAATTATAACCTTTACGTTGATCATGTCAACAGTACATAATTTCAAAAAAACATGAACAAGCGCGAAATAGTTGAAAATAACACAAACCCTTACCGCGGCCGCCGGGTGCCGCGTCGGCGTTGGGTACATCGTGCCGCCTTCGATTGGAGGCAAATGAACACAAACAATCAAAAATAATCTTTGTTGGGCCCGTGTAAATCGAACTTCGCCATGAACATGGCCCTGATTAGTCTCTGCCGATGCTATAACACACAAAACACCGTCGAACCCGAGCAAACGAACAATGATATGCACAAACTTTGCCTCAAAACTTTTGAAATATCGGTCATTATCATCAATTATTCAACTTTCAAGCACTACTGCCAATAACGGTTTAAAGCGCACTATAAATAATACATAGGAAATGTTTCATTAAACAAGCATACAACAATTTCACAAAATTTTAGCAATAAATCCACGCCGCAATAAATTTCTGTTCAGCTGTCATGTCATCCATCATTTTCGTTTCGTGTTTCGTTTCGTATTGAGCAGAGAGACAACTGTGATTAAAATATATGCGTTAGTATACAGCGCTCTCTGTGGAGAATACAGGGTAACAAAATGAATAATTACTACAACATCGAACACTTTTCCAGTATTACCTGCTTGTAAAATAGGTACAAATGAATAAGTACTAAAACCCGCGGTTGGTTTTACATTAGCATGCCGTCGCCATAAAACTATTCTATATCCACATTTAGCTGTCAAGTTCGAGTGACAAAACCCACCGCTTTGAAATTTTACCACAATGGCCGCGAAAGAATATTCAAACGTAGCGGCAAGGTTACAACTAATTTTAAAACATTTGACAGTTTTGAATGATAATTTTATCAACGTGAAAATTAAGCGCGTCAAATGAGATGGTTTTTCTTCGACAATTTTCACAAAGATTTAGTGTGTGGCTTTTGCAAATTTTGAAAGCGTTTTGAAAGCTTTCCGTCATTTTTTATAATTTATTTACTTGCATAATTTACGTAAAAACTGTAACTACAAAAACCCGTCTTTTTTGTTTCGTTTTACAATGATGTAATATAAAAAGATTACAATTACCGAGACGATGATTAAACGACAAAGATAGCGCAATTTCATGTCGTTATCCTTGTTTTTCAAAACAGACAACATTATTTATTTTTATTTATTCATTATTTATTTTATTTTTCTATTAATGAACAAACGAACGAATGACACTTGTCTACTATTTACTAGTTACCGATTCAGTATTCGGAATAAAAATGGCAACATAGCTTTATCAACTGAAATAAATGTGTTATGGGGAGGAATATCACGTATCGCATGCTGGTATTACCACTAATTTTTATCCTCTACTCCGGATGCAGAACATGAACTTTATTAACAGTTGTTTGTTTGTTATATACAGCGGTGGTCATAGAATTAAGAACGCTTCATAGTATTTTGATGTACAAATGTTCGTAATAAACATAATAACTCTTACCGTAAAATTATTGACTATAGCGCTAGCTAGTACACATTCGGGGCTAACAAAATCTAAAATTAAATAAAAAAATAATATTTAAAAATACCGTTAAAATTAGAATCATTTTAATTTTATTTAAACTAAAATAGGATGGAGGCTGGACAAACAATTAAAAACGAGGTAGGGACTCAACTGTAGTATTCACAATATTTCAGTAATTTTAGAAGTGGTATATTTTAAATAATTTAATAACGTTTTCTTAATATTATACTGATAAATAAAAAAAGGAATTCAATATTTAGTAGCCTGTCCTCGACCGCGGATAACGGCATGGCAGCGGCGCGGCATCGACTCTATTAACTTTTTGCAGTTTTCAAGTGAAATAGAGCTCTATTCTTCTAAAAACGTATCGTACAATTCGTACATGTTAGTAGACCGTCTGTTTGCCAATTTCTTTTTGACTTGACACCAAAGATGTTCTATTGAATTAAGATCTGGGCCATATGGTGGCCAGTCCAACATACCAGTTGGCTGTCAAGGAATCTTCGAACAGAGTAGGCTGTATGTTTCGGGTCATAGTCATGCTGGAATGTCCAAATTACCGGAGATTGTCACCAGCGTACGGTAGCATACATTCTTCAAGGATGTGTTTGTATTGGTATTGGTCAATATTACCTTGTATCAGCGTAGTAGGGCCTATGCCATAACCAGAAAAGCAACCCCAAATCTTAATGTTTCCACCACCGTGCTTCACCGTCTTTTTCGTATATTTTGGATTAAATGCTATATTCTTAGGTCAGCGTACGTACTGCTTGCCATCAGAGCATAGTCTGTTAATTTTAGTTTCATCCGAGAAAAGTACATACCTCCACTGCGCCTCTGCCCAGTGTTTATACTTCCTTGCAAACGCAAGTCGGACCTGTCTATGTCGTGGTGTTAACATGGACACCTTCCTTGTTACTCTCCCAAATAAGTGTGCCTCCACCAAACGGCTTCTCGCGGTGCGTGCAGTAGCGCGAGGATTGTTCTCACCAAAAATTTCGTTCTTATTTCATTTGAGCCTTTGTATGACTACTGCTTAGCGAAATTAACTATTCTTGAATCTTCTCGTAGAGACGTTTTTCTGTCTTTAGGTTTGTTTTAAAATGTTTCACGGCCTGACACGCCTTTGTTTTTGAGTAATGCAAATGATCTGCAATTTTCTGATATGACCATTTACGACCACGCAGCTTTATTATAACTTCTCTTGTAGCAAGAGTCACAAGATTTATTTTTTCCCATAAATAATTGCACAAAACGTTCTAAACTAACAATGCCGCGCAAAGGACATAAAAGTAGTAACGGAGAATTATTGCACTCCATTTTCAAAACTAAAACTCTTATACTAATAAAAGAAAATTATATTTCAGTTCTTAATTATTTGTCCAGACAGTATTCTGGGAACTAACTGAGTGATTGTGACTTAATAAATATATATATGTACCATTATTTAAACAAGATTATTACGCTAAATAAAGTAGGTAAATCCAAGTAAGTAAGATAATATTATTTAACACCATCAGAGCATATTTTTAAATTAATTCTGCACTTAATGGTTATTGCTAAATAATAATGGCTTTGTGTCATTAGTCGTTCTTAATTCTATGATCACCACTGTAAGTAATTATTCAAAATAAGATTTTAACAATGATTAACTAAAAATGTTTTGGGCATGATGGCAAACCATTACCGACCGATTGCCAAAACAAGTATGTAATTAATTGTAATTATTTAACAGTTTATATTCGTGTTTTAATTTAAGCCCTTTTCAAAAAAGGAAATATTAATAAACGTGACTATGGGTCGCTGCCTTTTGTGAAAATTAGTTCAATATGATTATTATGTAGCACAATAATTCAATAAAGATTTATTGCAATTGAGTAGTAAAGTGACAATAATCTCAATACAGGACAAAAAAAACGAGTTCAAAAGTACGTCGAAGTACATATAATTACCAAGTTTTATTGAAATCGGTTACCGGAAAGTGCGCAAATCCGGATTCATCCCCTAATTCGCCCCTATACGGGACTTGACACAGGAGATGATAAAAATCTGTTCTCACTACTCAAAGTATATTTAGAGAGAAAAATGCCTTGAATAGCAAAATCAACCATTAAAATAATTGCTCCTTATAATAAAATTTAGGCGCTATTTTTAAAAATGAATCTTCATGCGTGAACAGCCACCCTTAGAGGTGAATGATTTTCTTCAAAATTAAATGGGTCCACTATGGAGGTACCATCTTTCCAACAAAAAAAGGATCATGAAAATCGGTTCACATATAAAAAACATATAAAAAAAACTTACAGTCGAATTGAGAACATCCTCCTTTTTTAAAGTCGGTTAAAAATGGAGAATCGCGAAAAAATATAACGTCAGACTACATGATATTTCACGACTTTTGTTGGTGAAACTGTCGCAAGACTTCACTTTATATAATTACACTTTATAAATAGGAAATGAAACTATTTTTCTGGATTTAAATCGCGTATATTTGTTTTTTCAAACAAACCGACGTTTCGGGCCCTTTACAGATCCCATGTCACGGTTGACTGAGGTGGTACAGTCTTCAACCAGTTATGTCTAATATTGATGCAAACCGGAAAAAATTATTTAAATCCGGAAAAATAGTTTTATTGCCTATGTGCAACAATCACGAAAACCTAAGAACTCGATATACACTTTTTTGTAATTCTACCGAAGCACATTTTATTTTTTCTTTAATAATATGATTATTAGCAGCTTATGAATCCATAGCAGATGGCGCTTCTGATGCTGGTTTGGTTATTGTAGTCCTTCGGCCCATTCAGATATTCAATTATAGCCTATGGTGAAGATTAACAAAATATTGCAATATTAAAAATGAAAACTCGCAAGCTACATTTTGAAGGAAAATTTTATTTTATTTGCCAGTTAGAGATTTTAATCTCCATTAACATTGTAAATATAGATTTTTAATATTTTAAGAATTAATAAAACAATCTAAGTATACTATTTGTTTACTCTAGCAATTTAATTTATTTGTCTGTGGAAAATTTTTGACAACTGCATAGAGTGTATTACTAACTGTAACTGCTACTTCTACGAACTGTGAAAAGTATGTAGTAATACTCGTCTCTATAAAAATTCTAAATTATTTTCTTTTAAATTACTCGTTTCTTCTTGTAGTATCTTTATTAAATGCTAGCGATTTCCAACATAAAATAAATCTATTTCTATAGGAGACTCGTGTTAGGCAGTGGGTCGTTAGTATGTAATTATGATGAGGGATTTCTTTTGATACCAACACAAAGAGTATAATATTGCATTCTATCTTCATGGTAAACGTTTGATGGAGTTTAAATAATGCCGCATTACTAATAGATATCAAATATAATCATTATTAAACAAGTTGTTATTTCTGTCAATAATAGCCGATATCAATACTTTGATTTGAGTGTTTGACAGTATTCGTAAGTCAGCTCTATTGGTAGATCGTCGTCCGTCGGCTCGACCGCTCGTTTGTCGTTTTGCAGCTGTTCAATAACGCGAAGTGCTGTGTCGGAGTGTTTTGAAATAAACAATTTTGGTTGCTTTAAATTTCGTGAAACAGTGCATTTTCAATGATTATATTCAAAAGAAAGTGCTGTTGCTGAAGTGAAATTTGTTTGTTGTGAATATTTGCGTATCAAACTGAGCCATTATGGATTTCAAAACAGCCGTTTTCAACGCAGCACGGGATGGAAACCTCAC